AAAAAGATGAGTTATGTAAGCCTAAAAATTTAGAAAACAAAGTGGAATATTATTGAAACCTCCAGAATCATGTAGAAAACTAACCAAAGAGGTAATCGCAAAGTTTGTTCAATATATCAATGCGTTGAATATTCAAGGTTTGTCCAGGAAATAAAGAGTTTGTGTCAGTTAAAGTGATATAAAGATATAAAGTAGATGATATAAAGCAACATATCCAATAACAACTTAAGGTCCAGTCTAAAAGAGAAAGATTTTATAACATTGGCTTAAAAAAAACCAATAAATTAAATTATTATTTAAAAGATTGATTTTTTTTGAATTTAAATATTTTTGTTTATTGTCTTAATGACTAAAAAAATTTTAAACTGTAACTTCAAGATGCATAAACAAATAATTTAAAATATTTAGTGTCATATGTTTTGTATTTAAATTTTTTTTTTTTTTTTCGTTGCTTCAATTTACAAATTGCAAAACATTTTTTGTTTAATTCATTTTGAAAAATTGTGATATAAGGTAGGGGTCATAAGATTTTATCTATGATAAAGTTTTTATAAATTGTAAAGGGTTATGAAGTTATAAACATTGATCTTTTTTTTATTATCATTTTATAACAAATAACATTAGTTAATGCAATTATTTACTTTGTTAACTCAAAGTTTTAAAAAGACAAAAAAAATAATTTAAATTTGTAACTTATTTACAATCTCTTGAGATTGTAAATAAGTGCCCATTAAGTTTTTTGGATTTTTATTAGTTACAACTTTTTGATTAATGCGTACAAGAAATTTTAAGAAAAAATGCGCATCATTCCATCGCCAGATAACATATGCTTTGCATCGGTATTTATCGGCTTCAGGGATCAATTTAAAAAAAATCTTGATCTCTGGCTCATTTTGATGACCTTTTTAAAACACTTTTTAATGCAGCTTTTTATTTAACTGATTTTTTTTAAATATTCATCTACCACATGGAGATCAACAGGCAAATTGATTTTTATTATTTTTTAACTAGTTTTTAAAATAAAGTTCTTTTAAATCACAAAAAAATTGAATTCTAAAACAAAAATGCCAACCTTAGCCTTTCATTATGGAAAAAGCTAAGATGCCAGATTTTATGTTTTTTGTTCAATCAAGTCTTCGTAGTATATCTTAAAATAGTTAGAGTTTAATACCAAATTGTTCAAAAGTTGCTGTTAAAAACTATAAAAAAAACCTTGCTTTTAGAGTGGAAATTCATGCAAAACAGCCTACTACTTAAATAGTGTTTTCTCAAGAACCACATTGGATATTGATTTGAAATTTTCAAAACATGTTTTTTTGATATAAGTGTACATAATCAAAAAATTTCAGCAAAATCTGAGATGGTCAATGAAGAACCTCATAAGAATTTACTCCGTTTGGCATGGAATGACCCATTGATAATAATAAAAATACTGCCTGCTTTTGCAACTATAACAATATTATATTTTAATATATATTGTAACTTTTATTTGGGCAATTTCATGTGAAAACATCTAGGGATTTTGCTGACCAATCAGAATATTTTGCTGATTTTCACACTACTCAAAGGATTTTATAAGTTATGTAGATTCTCAAAATTTTGAAGATATTCAAACTTTGCCTTAAACCAAAAAAGATCTGTTTCTGTTCTGTGTGCAATGGAAAGCTGAAAATGTGTACACTTGTATATTTTGAGGCAAGGAATCTAATAAAACAATTTAAAATATTTAAAAATAAACATAACACCTGTAATTTTGACCTTTGCAATTTTACTGGGGCTTTAATTACAAAAATGTAGCTTGATTTTTTTTATTTTTTTAGGTGTCATCTTGAATATTTTAGTTAGAGTTGTTACAAAGAATTAGAGATTGGTCTTTTCTTAAACAGAAAAAAAAACATGGTTAAATTTACTCAAATTTGTTACTTAAAAAATAGAAATTATGAAAAATCAAAGGAAAAAAAAAGCTGTTACTCATAAGTACTTAATTCACAGAAGTCGATGTTTAGTAATTTCTGGCAACTTTTCCCACCCACCCTAAGTTTATTAAGACCCCCCTCCTTCTCCCCTCTGATTATTAAATTTTACTTCTTATGAACAAAGAAACTTCAAATCTAAAAAAATGACAGTTATTGATTTCTAAATTTTTAGGCCGGTTTAGGTCTTAAATTAGAAAATATAAACTCATTTGTAGGAAAAGAAAAATTCATACTTTTAGAATTTCCAATTCTTTTTTTTTTCCATCCCTTTTAAAAATTCCCATCCATCCTTTCATTTACACCCCACATTGTGTTAAGCAATCGAGGAAACTTGACAGTAATGAAATAAAACAGCTTTGACCAAATTAAATTGTTCCTTAAGTTGTGGCTGACTTGCTTTTGTTGTTTTCTTGGTAACTTTATAAAATCCAATCCAAAATTTCAAAAATTTATTAAAATTTTACCTGAGTTGAATTATAAAAAAACTGTTGAGAAAAGGTTTTGACCAACCAAAATTTAATTATCTAGCTTCATTCAGTGATCATGTCATAACATATCTTAAAAATTAGAAATCAAAAAGTTTGAATAAATTTCTCAGTGAAGTACTTGATTTGCTGAGTGAATTGGCTCTTCACTTTGTAAAGTTTAAATTAGTATGGTTGTTTTCTTGTTAAATTATTTGTAAACATTTTTTCTTATCAAATTACAGTTTTTAATTAAAAAAAAAGTAGTAAGCTCTAGTTGATTAAAATTTTTCAATCAATTTTTTATTTATTTATCTTCTAATCCAATTAACTATACAACTTACTTTTAATTTTTTTTCTTATCCAATTTTATATCTTTTGATCCAATTATATTTTCATCTAACTTTTATAATATTTATCTTTTGATACAATTATATTTCCATTTAACTTTTATAATTTTTTTTTTCAAATCTAATTATATTTTCATTTAACTTTTATAATTTTTTTCTTTGATCCAATTATATTTTTATTTAACTTTTATAATATTTATCTTTTGATCTAATTATCTTTCCATTTAACTTTTATAATATTTTTCTTTTAATTCAATTATCTTTTCATCTACCTTTTATAATATTTTTCTTTTTATCCAATTATCTTTCTAACTTTTGATCCAATTTAAATTCAGTACTTGACAGTAAAAAAAGTTATTATCAAAAGCCATAGTTGCTTGATCAAGTCTAAAAAAAAAAATTGATTGATGGCAACTTGGTATACTTTTGACAATTTTGTTGCTAAAACTGCCAATTGCACTTATAAAATGTTTACTGACCTTGCGTTGAATAGAAAGGGCATTGTCAGAAGAACCAGTTCGAATTCGATAACAGTACTTTCTACAGTTATGAATAAGAGATTTATTACACTATATTTTCATTAAGAAATGATATTAAAAAGTAGCAAACTTATGAGTTTCTTTAACTCAGATAAAACTTAATTTTTCTCAGCTAATTGTTATTGCAATAATCTTGATATTCCTATATTTATGAACAGTAATGTCCTTATTGAGTCATCTACCCTTCATCTTCTAGGATTAACTCTTACTTCCGATCTTTCTTGGAAACCATATATCAAATCGACTGCAAAATTATCATTTTCTAGTTTTGCATGTCTTTATTGTTCTCGCCACTTTCTTACTCAGGATTCTATTATTTACCTCTGTAAATCTCAATTCCATCTTTGTATGAAATACTTTTGTCATACCTGGGGTGGACCTTCCAATTATGCCCTTTCTCTTTTAGACAAAGTGCAAAAACACATTTTAAACATAGTTGACCTGCTCTTGCAGCCAACCTGCAACTATTTTCACATCATTATAATGTTGTTTCTTTTTCTCTTTTCTAGAAATACTATAATAGGCATTTCTCTAAAGAGTTAACACCTCTTGTGCTTTGTAATATTCATTCTCGTGTTACTCATCATTCAATTAAGTCTCATCCTTTTACTGTGACTGTTCTTAAGTGCTTCAAAATTTCTTATTGTTCTAGTTTTTTTCCTCTAACATATTTTCAATCTTTAAGTTGTATATTAATCGTTATCACGCTCTATAGATTTCATCTTTTCTCATTCAGTAACTTTCAACTCTAATAGTGGTTGCTTGCAGCTTTGTTGGAAGTGAAGATATTAAAAAATAAATAAATAAACTTAGCATGAGAAGTCAGTAGTGTTAATTTCAGAATATGTTAAGATGTAAACTCAGTAAAAGTGTTACTAATAATCAAGATAGCAATACCAACAATGACGTGATAATTATAATTAACAACTGAACTTTGGGATAAAATTGAGATCTCTAGAACCTCTTAAAATAAAAGATTTAGATACTGAGAATAAACGTGAAACTTTTTGTATTGAATTTATGTAATGCAATAAAAAAATATTTGTTTTCAGCAAATTTGTTCTTATGAATAATATTAAAATATGGTAGTTCACTGATTCCACATAGAAAAAAAAAAAGATTGAAAGCTAGAAGAAAAGGATTTAATGATAATTGAAATAAAAGGAAATAATAGATTCAGATTTGCATCAACAGATAAAGTTTACATAACGAGCACTAGAAAAAGTTGGAATAAAAATTATGTTTTATTAAAATAATTAGGTTAGATTTATGGTCATTATATTGTAGATGTAATATAATATAGTATACAAATTTGCAAAAGTATTTTAAATATTTTTCTTGCCTAAAGTTACAAAGTGATATTTTTAATGCTCAAATTTTTTATATTTTTTGTTATTGCAGACTTTTTTTTACAAAAAACTGTTGTTATGGAAACTACTTTATTGAATTTATTCAAGAGAGTAAACTAAAAATGGTTTAAATAAGATTTTTTAGAAAAAAACTTTTTTATAAATTTTTAATTTACCACCTTAACTTTGAAACTTGTTCTTCATTTTTTCTTTTTCCTAATATTTTTTTATAAACATTATTTTAATATATTGTAATGTTAGTATATTTTTTTTTTAAAAAAATATATATATATTTTTTTTATAGTATAGATTTTCGTTTTAGCTATATGAAACATAATGATGATTTAAATGGACTTACTCGTAATCAAAAAAATGCAGTTAGTAATGTTATTGAAGAAATTAACTGGTTGTTAAAAGATGAAATTGCTTCAGCACTCCGAACACATGGGCCTGTTGTTGAAACTAGCTTAGATATTGTAGCTGAGCATGTTAAAAATTCCCCCAATGTTGAAAACTGCAAATTTGAAAAGCGTTATTTTAAGTTTGTCACAGGTATTGAAACAGTTAGTGATCTTTCTTCATCTTTATTTATTTATGAACTTGAAAGTGTCAATCTTGATGGTTACATTTTAAAGCGAGTTGGCAAATATTATTGTGTTGTTGTTGAAAACATTGAATGTGAAAATAAAAAAGTTGGAGATGACGTAAAACAATACAATTTTCAACATAGAAACAAAGGGCACAGAAGAAGTCAATCAGATGTTACAAATAGTTTTCAAAGTTCCATAAAAAGGAAGCAGACTTCTACAAATGAATTTATTATGTCAAGAAGTTTTAGCGATTCCACTATTTTTCTTGACACTTTGCACCAGCCGGATTTATATAAGCATGTTGATCCATCTTCAGATAAATATCTTAAGCAAGTAAATAATGATACTGTTTCAAAAATCCAGTCAATGCAAAGTTTAATATCATCAGATGATTTATCTGCTCGATTGTTTAATGAAAAAAAAAATTTGTTGGAACCAAATCAAACAACTCTAAGTGAGTTTTAAATTACCTTTTTGTAATATTGTTTATTGTTTTATAGTTTGTTTTTAAAATTTTAAAAATTCTTTATTAAATCATAAAACAATTTAATTTATGCAGAAAAAAAAGTTATGCAAAACCTTAACTTTTTTTTATTGGAAGTAAACTATAAATGTAAAAAGTAAATTATGAATGTAATAAGTAAACTAGGAATGTATTAAGTAAACTATGAATGTATTAAGTGAACTATGAATTTGAAAATTGAGCTATGAGTGTAAGTGAACAATTAGTGACATGGAAACCATATACACAATCCGTTGCAAGGTTTGCATTTTAACCTAAGAAACCTAATTGTGCTGGCCATTTTCCTACTCCTAATCTCTATAAATCATTTAATTTTTCTTGTATGTTATGCTGTTGTCATATTTGGGTTGGTTTTTTTGTTATGCTAGTTCTCCTTATAAAAAAGGTACAAAAATGTATTATAAATGTATTTGGACCTGCTCTATTTGACAAGATTGAATTATTGTATCTTGGTTGCAAGGTTGCATTTCTTTCTCTTTTCTACAAAAACAATCATGGTTGCTGCTCAAACTAGCTATTATCTCAAATTTTATAACCAAAATTGATTTTCGCTTGACTTATTTTTTGCCAAAGTTGCATCCTTCTACTGTATCTGTCTCTTCAGGCTCTAAAAATATTTATTCATCACTTTTCTTTTAATATTTAACACTTCAAAGCTTTTAATCTTTTTTGCTTGCAGGTTTTTCTTACAGTTTAGGCAAATAAAAGTTCTTGTATCCTTCCTTACCAAATATAGTATGCAAGTTATCCTCGATGGACAGCACTCTTATTTATTTCCTTTAACTTCAAGCGCTCCTCAAGGTCCTTGACCCTATACTTTACATTAACGATCTCCCATAAATTCTCACATCTAAGGTGGCATTGTTTGCTAATAATACTCTCATTTATTCTTGTCTTGATAAGCAAAAACTCTCTGATTGTTTGGAGGGGGCATTTGAGCTTGAAAAGGATGTCACTTCTGCTACAGCATGGGACTCTCAGTAGCTGGTGAATTTAAACTCAGATAAAACTCAATTTTTTTCTGCTAATTTTTATTGTATTAATCATATTTATGAGCGGTAATTTACATGATGATGTATCATCATGTACATTACCGCTCAATTTTTATTGTATTAATCATATTTATGAGCGGTAATGTCATCTACCCTCCATCTTCTATGATTAACTCTTACCCCCTATCTTTCTTGGAAACCATATATCAAATGGATTGCAAAAATAGCATCTGCTAAGGATGCATCTCTTTATTGTGCTTGCCACTTTCTTACTCTGGGTTCTAATTTTGAATTCTTACTATCTATTCTTTATCTCTATAATCCGTCCTTGTATAGAATACTGATACCATATCTGGGGCGGATCTTCTAATGATGCCCATTTAAAATTCTCTTTTAAACAAGGTGTGAAAACGCATTATAAACATAGTTGGACTTGCTCTTGCAGCCAACCTGCAACCATTATCACATTGTCGTAATGTTGCTTCTCTTTCTCTTTTCTATAAATACTATAATGATTATTGCTCTAAAGAGCTAGCGTCTCTTGTGCCATGAAATTCATTCTTGTGTTACTTGTCATTCAATTAAGTCTCACACTTTTACTGTGACTGTTTCTAAGTGCTCCAAAAATTATTTTTCATCAAATTTTTTTCCGTGAATATCATTTCTTTGAAATTCACTTTGTTTATCTTATTTTCTTGATTCAAATAATTTGCAATCTTTTAAGTTGTCTGTTAATCGTTATCTTGCTTTATAAACTTTATCTTTTCTTTTCCAGTAACTTCCAATTCTAATAGTGGTTGTTTGCAGCCTTGTTTGAAGTAAAGATGTTTTTTTTTTAAAAAAAAAAAAAAGATTTGATTGTTGTGATACTGAATGAAAATAATTTTGGCAAAATAAATATTGGCACAGATTCGATTTGATGAAAGATACTTAGGTTAGGTGCTTTTTAGGTAAGGTGTATAACACAATACATTTTTAACTATAAATCATTTAAAATAAATTATACAACTGTTCTCAATCTGAAAATCTCATAACTTTTTATTACATATTGGGCATTTGCAATTATATATTTAGATTTTTTTATTACATTTTATGTTTCCTAATTCCATGTTACAATTTCTTGATTAGGACTTTATGTTCTATTATATATATATATATATATATATATATATATATATATATATATATATATATATATATATATATATATATATATATATATATATATATATATATATATATATATATATATATATATATATATATATATATATATATATATATGTTCTATTATATATATAGTCCTTTTTTTCACTTATTTCAAAAGGGCTAAATGACTAAATGTGTGAAAGTGAACAAAATTATTATTTTGTCATATTGTGTTATTAGTTAGAAAAATTAGTTCTAATCTATCACTGTAGTATTTTTTGTTTTAGCAAATAGTCAAATTCTATAAATATACATAGTGTTTGTTTTAAGCATACTTTTAATTCTAAAATATTAAAAAAAGTTAAAAGTTTGTGTTGTACTTATATAAATGTGCTTACATCTTGTGTTTAGAAAATATATTAAAAAAAATATCAAAACAATATTACTTCAGGAAAGATTGGTTAAATAATACCCTTTACGCTGATAGGTTTTGGCTAAAAGAAGTTTCTAATAGTCCTGCACAGGCAATGTGTTCTATTTGTCAAAAAACATTTGACTTAAGTAACATGGGCATTCAGGCAGTAAAAAGTCATGAAAGAAGTAAAAAGCATGCCAATAGTGTTAGTTTGTATAAGAACCAGTTGCCAATCTATTCTTTATTTAGTAAACATCAAATCCAAGAATTAGCTTCAAACAGTATTGTAAGAGACAAATCAAATAAAAACAGTATTATTCCAAAACAGTTCATGTGCTTTGAGTGATGTAAGTTCTGCAAGCATTCAGAAAACAGTCGATAGCTATGCTATATGAGATGAAGTCACAAAAGCAGAAATTAACTGGGCTTTATGAGTTGTATCCCACCATGAATCTTATAGGTCCTGTATTAATATAGGAAAAACATTTAAACAAATGTTTCCTGACAGTGAAATAGCTAAGCAGTTCAAGCTTGGAAAGACAAAGATTGCCTATAACATAACTCATGGTATTGCTCCCTATTTCCATGATGTTCTTCTGCAAAATATTTTAAATTGCAATTTTTTGTGCATAATGTTTGACGAGGCACTTAACGGAGTAATACAACAAAGCCAAATGGATATATGTGTGCGCTTTTGGGATTTAGAGAAACATAAAGCTATTACTTGTTACTTTTCATCTGCTTTTTTAGGGCATGCAACTGCTAATAAACTATAAGACAGCTTTAATGCAGTGATTGAAAACATGTTATTGCTAAAATTATTTAAGTTTCTATGGATGCACCCAGTGTGACCTGGAAATTTTTTGATGCTCTAGAAGAAAGTTATTCAGCAAAATTTGATATTCAGTTAATTAACATCGGATCATGTGGCCTCCATGTAGTTCATGGGGAATTTCAGAAGGGGCACAAAGAAGCTGGTTGGAAAGTTAATTCAGCATTAAGTTCCTTATATTGACTTTTTAAAGATTGTCCTGCTCGCAGAGCAGACTATTTAGCAATAAACAAAGTAAAGCAAAAATTCCTTTAAAATTTTGTACGACGCGGTGGGTGGAGAATGCTGTAGTTGCAGAGAGAGTTCTTGAAATTTTTAACAATGTGAAAACTTACGTAGAAAGGTCAAAACTACCGATGACTATTACTGCACAGAATGTTATTGAAGCTATCACAGATCCTCTAATCAAAGCTAAAATCAGTTTTTTTTTGTCTATTGTCAATGTAGTAGAACCATGTCTTATGCAATTTCAGTCACCAAGTCCTCTAGTTCCTTTCCTATATGATGAGTTATATCATCTGATGTCATGCCTCATGGAGAGATTTATCAAAAAAGATGTTTTCACAAAAGCTGATTCATTACAAAAGTTGTGGAAGATAGATCTGCAGAATGAAAAGTGCAATTGGAGAGACGTGGTAGTTGGTGTTAGAGCTGTTTTTGAGTTACAGAATTGTAAAACTGTTAGTAGTCAAAAAATTAAATTTCTAGAAGAAAGCATTGGCTTTTTAATTGCTGTATTTACTAAATTAAAAAAACGTTCTCCACTTGAATACAAGGCTACTAGGCATTTATCATCGTTTTCACCAAAGGTTATCATTAGGTCACCTGACAAAGCGAAGATACCTTTTGATTCTCTAGAATCATTTCTGCATAAATCTGGGCTAATAAAATCAGTCCTAGCTGATCAAGCTATGAGTCAGTATTCTTGCTTATGCAATTTGGCATCATTAAAAATGGAGATTTTTGAAAATTTTGATTTCACTAAGCAACGTTTAGATGACTTTTACTATGAACTAATTGGAAAAGATATGCAATACTCAGCATTGTTTGAAATAGAAAAAAGTAGAGCAAGGTTTTAGTATTAACTCAAATGTTTTAGTAGAAATTCTTGCAGCAGAATCTGTAGTTGCCCAACGACAAGTTTATGATGCAATACTTGATGTAGGTAGGCTGTGCAATGTACAAAGTACACCAAAAATGTTGAAAAGTGTTTGTTTATTGTATGACTAATACCAACAAGCTCTGTCTGACAGGAGAAAAAATAAAGAAGAACAACAAAAGAAACTGTGTAAAAAGCGGTGTGCCATACAATTAATAAAAGATTTAAAGGCCAAAAAAGACAGATTAGAAAAGGATACTGAAAGGGAATTGGTTGCTATTAATGCTGAAATAAGCTGTTTGTCATCGTCCATATTTTATAATTAGTCTTGCTGATTCTTGGTTACAACATAGTAACATTTGTGTAGACATGAATTTTCAGCTTCATTTTTTAACTTCATACTTTATTTTTTTATTATTTTTTTTGTTTCAAAGTGTTTATTTATATAAAGTAAAGTGTTTTTAAGAAAACTTCTATTATTTGTGTAAAGTTGTGTGTGTTTTATTTGTTGCCTTTTTATTGCTACATATGTTAAATTTATATCGGTAAGTCAGGGAAATTTCATTGTAGCCACCCTTTTTTTAAAAGGGGTGATCTAATTTAATTATTATTTGAGCTCACTTATTTTTTATAGTTTTTTTTAGGAGAAACTTATTTTCATGTCTGCATTTAGAAATCTATTCTAATTTTTTGTTTAATAAACATTCTTGGTTTGCACTTGTAATAATTTCAATTTTTTTTTGTAGGCATAGTATGCATTTCTTGGAAATATTGTTATATGCAGGTCCTGTTTTAAGGATGGACCAATTCAGTATAAAATCATCAATATTTTTATCTTTTAATTCCCATATATATTTTGACAGCATGGTGTCTTTTATATACTTTTTATTTTTAAAGGATTGCTTTTGATTGGCAAAACGTTTTTTCCATTCACCCTCTGTTATGCCAATATATTTATAAATCTTAACAACTTCTACTCATCAGACAATTTGTTTACCATTACAATTTTCTGTAGTTTTTTTTATTTAGGATTTCTTTTTTGCTTAACAAAGCATTATTGTGACCTTTTATAATTCTTTCCATATTTTTTGTGCAACTGTAGCTAACTTTAATTGTTTTTCGATTAAATATTTTATGTAATTTATTAGAAAGCGGGACATGCTTATCGAATTTTAATTTTAAGCGGGAAATGTTTTATTTTAAAAACACTTTTCCTATGTTAGTGGAAACATTTGTGCTATATGGGGGTTTGAAAATTTGTAGTTCTATTTCATTTTTTTTTTTATTATTTTTTTCAGGGTCAAATTTTAGTTCAAAATTTTCGAAAACCACTTTTTTTAAGGGGATCTTCAAATATTTGTTTAGAGGAATTGAATACATTTTCATTAGAGGAGTTTTGGTTAAGCCTGTTATTAATTGAAATCGGGATTTGTTTTAGAATTTGGGGTGGATGATTTGAGTTAATATTAATATACAATAATTCATTGTTTGGTTTTTTGAAAGGCTTATATGAATTTTCAGGGAGGTTAAATGTGACGTCAAGAAAGTTCACATTTTTAAAATTTATTTTTGTTTCAATTTTAAACCCAATATTTAAAAAAAATTTAATAATATCTTTTCTAGTTTTATTTAGCTGTGGACCAGATTTTTTATGCATTACTATTATACCATCGTCGCAATAAAGGTCTAAATCATTTATATTGATTATTATACTTAATAAATCTAAAATATTTAGTCCAACAAATTCACAAGTTTCTTCTCCATTATAACTGCCCATTGTTACATCAAAGCAGTCATATTTTTCTTTTTTCAAGTTTCTTTATTAAAGTAAAGTAAGGTTTTTCTACAATGTTTTATTATACGGATTGTTTCTTCAGGAATAACTGTGTGGCTTTTTGCAAATTCAATTGTTTTATCTAAAATATCTGCAGTTATTGAGAGGGTAAAAATCATTAATGTCAAATTGAATAAAAGTACAGTCATTTTTATTTTCGGTTATAAAGAACCAATTTATAACATCAATGGTATTTTTCCACAGTTGCAGGTTTAATTTATTTCTAAGAATATTATTAAATTTGTCCAATTTAACTTTGCTTACATGTCTAATCTCACTTTTTGAGGGAACCAATAACCTACAAGGAAGTTTGTTTTAAAAATTTGGTTTATGGTTATTTAGTATTACAAAGGCTTGAACAGGGGCTGTTGATTCAATTCTGTTATCAAGGTTAATTTTTTTAGCAACACTTTGCGCTTCTAAATTAATTGCATTTTCTATATTTTTAGGGGTTTTCTTATAAAAAATAATAATATTGTTGAATAAAATTTTTTCATAGTTTTCTACGTTATATATACATATATATATATATATATATATATATATATATATATATATATATATATATATATATATATATATATATATCCTTATAGTGTAGTCGAAAGAGTCGTTTAATGTAAAAAAAGTCTCTTACGTCTAAAATAAAATTTTTTCATAGTTTTCTACGTTATATATATATATATATATATATATATATATATATATATATATATATATATATATATATATATATATCCTTATAGTGTAGTCGAAAGAGTCATTTAATGTAAAAAAAGTCTCTTACGACTACAATTTTAATTACCTCATCTCTTAAGCTGTATTTGATTGTCGTCGAAATGTCAAAGCAATTAAATTAAAGCGGAAGTACATTAAATTTTATTGTTTTTTAAAAAAATTTTAAAAAACCGCAATAATAACGACTAGAAAGTTTTTTTTAATTTGTAGTGTTTTTGTTTTTGTTTTATTAAAAAACATTTTTAAAACATGCGTAAATGTTGCTACATCGACTATCTTATAGCCTGACTCGCAACGGAGTGCTGCTACATCGACTGACAAATAGCCTGACTCGCAACAGAGTGCTGCTACATCGACTGACAAATAGCCTGACTTGCAAGGGGGTGCTGCTACATCGACTGACAAATAGCCTGACTTGCAAGGGAGTGCTGCTACAACGACTGACAAATAGCCTGACTCGCAAGGGAGTGCTGCTACATCGACTGAGGGTTTGGTTTGGGCAGGCAGTCTGTCATTTAAAAAAATAAAAAAAATTTTAGTTTATAAACTTTTTCTGGTCTGGTTTATTAACGCGCCCTTTAAAACTACAGTTTATGGGAAACTCTTTTTAACTACCATGCAAGAGTATATATATATATATATATATATATATATATATATATATATATATATATATATATATATATATATATATATATATATATATATATATATATATATATATATATATATATATATATATATATATATATATATATATATATATATATATATATATATATATACATATATATATATCCAAATGGTCTAAGTAGCACTAATTTAGTAATAATTTTCAAATAAATAACAATTTTTTAAAAACTTTTTAACAGCATGTTTCATCAATATCAACTAATCATTAATACCTGATGATGTCAATTGATATTGATGAAACATGTTGTTAAAATGTTTTGAAAAAATTATTATTTATTTAAAATATATATATATATATATATATATATATATATATATATATATATATATATATATATATATATATATATATATATATATATATATATGTATGTATATATATGTGTATTTATGTATGTATATATATCAGGGCTGTGGAGTCAGAGTTGTGGAGTTGCGAAATTTTTAGCGGAGTCGGAGTGGCTAAATAAAATCAGGACTCCAACTCCAATTTTGCTTTGGAGTTGCAGTCAGAGTTGGAGTTGTTACTTTTTTTTTACGGCTCCACACCCTGATTTATATATATATATATATATATATATATATATATATATATATATATATATATATATATATATATATATATATATATGTACATATATATACATATATGTGTATATATATATATGTATGTATAAAAATATATATATACATGTATATTGCTTGACTTGTCTTTCAGCAAGGTCGTATCTTTTTAATGTACCTCAGTATTTAATGAATTGTCAATGTATGCATAAATTTATAACACTTAAAAATTCCCGGGCTATCAACCCCTATTAAATCTTATATTTTACCAGGGCTGCACTGGGGCATGGTTTGTAAAAGTCCTACATTTAGCCAGGACCCCAGTCACTTACTATGTGTAAGTGTGTTTGAATATATATACAAACACTCACATACAATCTGTATATGTGTGTATATAGTATTGCGTACTAAGGTAAGCAATCTGATGTCATACTGAAATAGCCTACTGCTGGGGGCTTCAGTACATACATCGACTGACAAATAGCCTCACTCGCAGTAGAGTGCTGCTACATCGACTGAGGGTTTGGGATGGGCTGGCAATTGTTTTATTCATCATTCTTCGTTTTTTTTTTTTTTTTTCGAAAAAAACGGTATAGCGTAAGGTAAGCAGAAAAAGTTAGCAAATGCTTATCAAAACACGCTTGAGTAAGTGTATATATATGTATATATATATATATATATATATATATATATATATATATATATATATATATATATATATATATATATATATATATATATATATATATATATATATATATATATATATATATATATATAGGTATATATATATATATATATATATTTCTATGAGTGTGTGTATATATATATATATATATATATATATATATACACACACCTCATATACAATCTGTATATGTGTTTATATATATACATACACATATATACAGATATATGTGTATGTATATCTGTATATATGTGTATACATAAAATTTTATTTACAATTAAAACATTTTGTAGTTGATGATGAAAGTTGTGAAGAGTTCTGCGAGACAAAGCATGATGATCTGGAAGAGGATCTGCAACCTTCACCTGATTTTTGGTTATTTATACATAATTGTGAGGAATCAGTGAATATTTATTTGCACAGAAGGTATTATTCACATTATTTTGTCACAATTAAAGTTTTACTTATATTGAAATATATGAATTTATTTTAGACGATGTGAACATGCTCGAAATATTTCTCATCAGACGACCATTTACAATAGATTACTTGAAACTCTTGATCATATTTGTAAAGTTGTCAATCAGGTTGTTTTTTTTAATTTTAATAATTTAAGAATAATATTTAGTTTTAGGAATTAAATATCATCAAATATTTTACAACAGTTAAATTTAGTTTATTTCAATATACACAATTTCATATAAAAATAAGCCCCCCCCCCCTCCTGTACCGCTACAGAATAAAAAGATCTTTTTATTAGGAAAGTCCAGTTCCTCCAAATGCTTTTTTCTTGAGTTTCATTCTCAGTCAATTTATTACTTAATTCTGGGTAATAACTTTCTGGTATAATGTTTGCCTAAGGTAAATAGTTATCAAGCTTGGTCAGGAAGCAGGTGCAATTGCACTATAATCCTGACCACACATAATATTTAGTTGCAGTAACTTGACCATGGCTTTTATATGTTTTGAGAACATTCAAATTTGTTTATGTTTCTGTGTTTGTCTGAAAAATTGAGTTTCAACATGCTTTAAGAATTAACTTTGTAACAAACTTTTGTTATCAAATGTTTCTGTATTAGGAATCTTTCATACATCGTGTTCTAAGGGTGAGGGAGGGGAGTTAGTGGTTTTATGACAACTCATATAGGACTTGTTAATAAAGTGTTACAATATTGTGATGAGGAGGTCAAAAATGGTCAAAAATTGCGTGACGTAATTTATGGACAACTCCTTAGCAAAAGGGTTTTTTAAAAAAAGCAACAATTAACTTTTATTGATTGTTTACAAAAAAAAAAAAAATGTTTTTTTTTTAAAATTATATAAAAGTTTTATTAAAAATTATATAAAGTTTAGCAAATTATATGAATATAGAGTAATTTTTTATTATTTAAACTATATATTATGTCTGTAATTATTATGTAAAATTTAAATTTTTTAAAACTGTTTGCACGATATTATAAAAACAATACTACTTAACAATACTTAATGAAATTTTATTAGCAAATTAAAGTTGATAAAACTAATAATCAAATAAACATACAGTAACTTACAGGCAAAGATACATATATACATAGCAAGCTTTCTTGGAAAGCGCATGCGGTAACACACCTTGTTTGTCCGCAAGGATCCTAAAAATATTTAACAAAATTTTTAGGACCCTATTTATAACTTTTGTTTAAGTTTTAAATACATCTTTTTAAACAGAGCAATCGTTATGATCATTATCTCTAGTAACTCCTTTTAACATCGGAAATTGGGCAATATCGACGTCTCTTTATTACTGCTAGGAACCATTGTAAAAAGGTTTTGTCTAACGCCAAAACCCGCTATTCTCAGATCATGAAATCTCGTATTTCATCACAAAAATTAGGCTCTCGTGACTTCTGGAGAATCTTTAATAGTATCAATAATAAGGGCAAGTCTTTAATTCCACCTCTTTTGTATGGTTCAGACTTTGTCACCTCACTTAAAGACAAAGCTGAATTGTTTGCCAAGAACTTTTCATCAATATCATCTCTTGATGCCACTAGTTGCGTTTTACCTGATATGCCCGTCAAACAGGTTGATCCATTGCTCGACATTCATATCACTCCAGCTTCTGTATCTAAAGTGATTTCCCGCTTAGACTCTTCTACAGCTTGCGGCCTGGACAACATACCTGTTATAGTCTTGCAGAAGTGTTCTCCTGAGCTGTCATCTATCTTTTCAAAACTATTCAACAAGTGCTTATCAGAGTCTTGTTTTCCAGCCTGCTGGAAAGCAGCATCTGTTATCCCTATTTTTAAAAATTCTGGAGAGCGATCTGACTCATCTAACTACCGTCCCATTAGTCTTCTTCCTATCATAAGCAAGGATTTTGAATCTTTAATTAACAAACACTTAATCTCTCATCTCGAATCGCATAACCTACTTTCTGATCATCAGTATGGATTTCGATTTTCTCGTTCTACGGCTGATTTGCTATCAGTAATAACCGATAGGTTTTATCGCGCATTAGATAAAGGTGGAGAGGTTAAGGCCATTGCTCTTGACATTTCTAAAGCGTTTGATAAAGTTTGGCATGCTGGTCTCCTCTATAAGCTTTCTTTTTATTGTGTATCTGGAAACATCTTTAAGATTATTGAATCCTTTCTTTCCAATCGTAGTATAAAAGTTGTCCTTGATAGACAGCGCTCTTCTTCTTATTCTGTATACTCAGGAATTCCTCAAGGTTCAATCCTTGGCCCTATACTCTTTTTAATTTACATTAACGATCTTCCAGATATTCTCACATCTAAGGTGGCATTGTTCGCTGATGATACTACCATTCATTCTTGTCACGATAAGAAGCCAACTCCCTCTGATTACTTGCAGGGGGCATTTGAGCTTGAAAAGGATCTCACTTCTGCTACAGCATGGGGCTCACAGTGGCTGGTGAACTTTAATTCAGATAAAACTCAATTTTTTTCTGCCAATCGTTATCGCAATAATTTAGACCTTCCTATATTTATGAACGGTAATGTACTCGATGAGTCTCCTACCCTTCATCTTCTAGGATTAACTCTTACTTCTTGATCTTTCTTGGAAACCTTATATCAAATCCTTTGCAAAATTAGCATCTGCTAAAGTTGCTTCTCTTTATCGAGCTCGTCACTTTCTTACTCTGGATTCTAATCTCTATAAATCTCAAATCCGGCCTTGTATGGAATACTGTTGCCATATCTGGGGCGGATCTTCTAATGATGCCCTTTCTCTTTTAGACAAGGTGCAAAAAAGCATTGTAAACATAGTTGGACCTGCTCTTGCAGCCAACCTTCAACCTCTGTCACATCGTCGTAATGTTGCTTCTCTTTCTCTTTTCTACAAATACTATAATGGGCACTGCTCTAAAGAGCTAGCGTCTCTTGTGCCATCTACTAAAATTCATTCTCGTGTTACTCGTCATTCAATTAAGTCTCATCCTTTTTCTGTTACTGTTCCTAAGTGCTCCAAAAGCTCTTATTCGTCTAGTTTTTTTCCTCGAACATCAGTTCTTTGGAATTCGCTTCCTTGATCTTGCTTTCCTGATTCGTATAATTTGCAAGATTTTAAGTCGTCTGTCAATCGTTATCTTGCTCTACAATCTTCATCTTTTCTCTTCCAGTAACTTCCAACACTAATTAGTGGTTGCTTGCAACCTTGTTGGAAGCGAAGATAATTAAAAAAAAATATATATATATATATATAAAAGAAACAATTTTAGAAATGCACCAAAAGCAGTAAATACATTTATTAAAGAAAATATGTTATTTTTTTATCTAACTTATTCCATTATTACAAAATTTATTAATCGAAAAATATTGTTATTACAAAATTTAATTTAAAAAAAATTAAAAAAAAAAATTTAAAAATATTGTTATTACAAAATTTATTAATCGAAAAATATTGTTAAATATAGCAACAGCATTTTTAAAAGCAAAAAGACGTAAAAACAAATAAACGTAATAAACGAATAAACTTAAGAAAAAAAATTAACAAGATTTTTTATAGTTCTAGCATGCATTGCAAATTAGTTTCTTATTTATATGGATTGATTAAAATCGTGAATAAGTTACTTTTTACGTGAATTACGTGACTTTTTACGTGAATTACGTGAATAACTTTCAATTGTTGTTAAATCATTATAAAAGATGTTTTTTTCAACAACAACTCTAAAATAAAAGAATTTACTTTTTTTAATTATTAAATTTTCTAGTTTATTTAATTTAACTTGATATTTTGTTACAATTTTCTTTCATTTTTTTAGGATTGTTTTTTTTTTTTTTTTCTCCTAATAAGTTTAGCTTTTAGCCACAAATTATTGAAATGCTTTATAAGTTAAAAGATGCGAACTACAATGGTCAGTTTATCTAAAAAAATTACTTTGAATCTTGACAAACAAGGCGTGCAACCGCATGCACTTCCTGGAAAGGTTTAACATAATAAATTGAATTAGCGAGTAGATGAAAACCTTGCCAGAGGTTCAAGATAATACAAATATACTTTTGTATAAAGTGACTTACGGTTGAACCAGCATCACGCCAGAGGTCCATTCAGAATACAAACACAAATATATAAAGTGAATTATGGATGAACCAACACCATTCCAGAGGTCCAGAGATCACTGTCCAATCAGAGGTTGCTGGGTAAGATTTATCAAGCCTTCAAAAATTAATAAATAAAAAAATTCATAATATCTTCAAATGTAAAAAAAAAAAGAATAATTTAAAAACAATAAAAATGTTTCTGCAAGTGCTTTTAAAAGTTTGAACTTGTTTATAAGTCATTTTGTGGAATTTCAGAAATTCCATACTTCTAATTAGTTTATCATTTCTTCAGTCTGATGATGGAACTGATTCAAATTCTGTTGTTAAGTTGCCATTTTCAGAGCAAGCTGGACCTTTGTACTCTAATATTTTACAGCTGTTGATGGAATCAGTCTTTCTGAGAGCTGCCACATAGTTTAGGAAACCTGACTACCATCCAGCCTCAGAAACATAGAACCATAGAGTTTTATTGATGTACCCTCTTTAGGAGATAATAGAATGAGTTGCCTAGTCATAAAAACAAAGACACAAGCAAAACTCATGCATTGAGTCAAGAAGATTCAGCATTTAACATCCTAAACTAAAAACAATGTATTATAAATACATCTGTGCCAGCCTAATAGATGAAGAAGGGGTGCAAGGATAGTCAACAGATAAAATCTGTTTACCCAGTAAGTCTTTGCTTAGAGGGCCTTCTACAAACAGTAGCTGGATGCATTTAATGTCTGCCCAAATTGAGTATTTTTATCGAGACACCATCTCAAGCCTTTACTCAACCAAGAGCCTTAAGGCAGGGGGTGTTTTAAGTTGGAGTTGGCTTCTTCTAGCCTTTGCTTAAAAATGCGTATCTTACAAGGCAACAGCAGATGAATCAGGTTGTACTGAGTTACATATTACCAGTAGCAGGGTAACCTGATCTGATATGTTTATTTCAAAATGTTATATTTTAGGCTAATTACAATAATAAACTTTCAGGCAAGCAGCTCAATATTTGCAAAGCAAAAAATACCAATAACATTCTAAAGAAGGTGTTAAAATTTTTATGGAATTTTGCGCATAATATTCACAATAATTAAGGATGTCAATCAGCACTTCAAGATAAATCGTTTTTTGAATATTTTTTTTTTTTTATATATCATTTTAAGAAAATTACAATAGTAAACTTTTATTAAAAACCATTTCAGCCATGCAGCTTAATATTTGCAAAGTAAAAAATACCAATAACCCGCTAAATGAGGCAATAAAATAAGCATGAACTCAAATTCTGTTTAAAGTTTTATGGGATGCGGTTGCTGTAGCAGCAGAATGTATTGTACTTGACAAACCAAAGATACCATGAAAACATCAGGTTATATCACAATTCTCTGAAAGTGGAGTTCCATACTTTGCTACAACTACAGAGGATTAATACCAGTAGCTTTACTATGCATCTCTGGATTATGTTATAATGGGATTTGAAACCCAATTTGAACCAACAGAGGCCACTGAACATTTAGCAAATGTTAACAAAATTTATCATCAATCATGCTTGAATGGATCTGTCATCGATCATGCATTGGTCATGCTTGAATGGATTCATTGACAAAAATGACAATGAATATATCTAAAACTGCATCACGATATATTTTTAGATCATTATAAATTTAATAACATTCAACTAAACGATTTTGAATCTGTTTTGAGCATGCTGGTGTTCTTTCTCAATTAACTCCACTGATTCCCAAGTTTGTGAAGCTGGTGAATTATTCATTAGTCACTCTGTCATCACTGCACTCACAATTTCTTGTGAATCTGCCTAACAAATCTCTTTTATTTTTTTTTAGATTCAACCTCAATATCAAACATATCTTATATATTATTATTAAACATATAAACTTCTTATCAAACATATAAACTTTTGATTGAGATTCTTAATGATTTAATTGCATGGCGCTGTGGGCTAGAATTCACTTACTGTACAAAACTAATAACTCATCATATAAAAAAGATTTAAGAGCCATTTTTTCAATGTTTACTAATTTGAGGATTGCAGTTTCAATGGTGACATTAGTTTTAATTTTGGGTTGCTATGGATACCTAAATTGCTTAGCAATCACATATTTTATTAAGCTTAACAAATAAAAACTGGAAAAAGTAATAACTTTATTGGAATATACTCATAATTACCACATTAAGTATTTTTATACCAAAAATGTAGTGGTACTATGGATTTTTTATTTGGATGGCAGTGACACCTGAAATGCCTGGCAAAAGTTCATTTTGCATAGTTGCTAATTTAGTAACTTTTATTAAAGCATCAATGTTATAAACTAGACTAATTTCAATATGGCAGTTTAATTAAAAAATTATTTTATGCATTTAAAAAGTTTAACACATTTCCAATTACTAATTTTAAGTTTTTTTACTTTAACCTGCTCTATTTTATATCTTATAAAACTACTACATAATCCATATAAAAAGGAACCTAAAGTTTAAAATTTTTTGTTAATATAATATTATAAAAATTTGATTTAAAATTATTTTTTGAACAAAAACTTATTTTATCTGATAATTGTAAAACAGCTTTAGCTTCTTTTTCTTTACCATTTTGGTGCAAAAATCTGAACAAACAATAGTTTACTCTTTAAAATATCAAAATTCATATGGGGCTTGCCAGATACTACAGTTGCATAAGAGCAGAGTTTTCTTTATCAATCGAAGCAGTTAAATTTTCTTATTATCAATTACAAATTGAACTGGTATTGATTTATTTTGTTGCCATTATTTGTTATTCTCTTTAAAACAAATTTTAGGGTTTTTGCATATATACCTTTGTAAAAGATGCTTTATGAAGTTAGACAGGTTATTATTTGCACTTAAGTTTATGCCATTTACAATTGCATTCAAAATATTAGGATTAGCTAAGTTCAAGTTTTCTTGTATTATATATAAACAAATATCAATACTTTTCATGTTTTAACTATATAAAAATATGAATTTCATTTACAAAATCTTATAAATAGGTATTTTCAGATGTATGAATATTAAAACAAGTTTGTAAAACTTATCTAGTGTTGCTGAGACCCAATTATTACATAACCAGTTAGAATAAAATACATATGTTTTTGCCACATAAAATCGGATACATCATTTAACTTGTAAAAATTATTATTAGAGGCCAGGCGGACATCCGCGGATTATAAAACAAATTTATATTGATAATATACATATTAAACAATGTATTTCAAGTCTCAAATTACTAGACCACTTAAGACTGCAAAAGTATTTGACTATATAAGTGAAGTTTTAACTAAAAAAAGTACTTCAAATATGTCGCTATTTAAAATCATTTTATTCTACATAACTTACGTGAAAAATAGTGTTGTAATAGCTCATGAAAGATAATACTTGACTTTATTAAATCATGCAATAAAAAGAGAAGTTTTAAAATTAACTTCTATTCTATGCTTATTAGCACCACAATAAATATTATCAAGTTATTAAAAAAAAAAAAAAGCTTTTTATTCTATAGCTTAGCATTATAATTATAAGCAAAAATACATTTTATACAAGCTGAATGTTTAAGCCCCTCAATACACTTAAATTATTGATAAAACATTCATTCTTTAATCACAGATGAAAAGTATGATTTTCCATTGGTTTTCCAATATAATAGTTTAGTTTATCATTGTTTAATCTAATGTTTAATTTAATCTTGTCTATGTTGAGGTTAAGCTTAAATTTACCTTGTTAATGTCTAGTTTAAATTTTTTATAAAGTTCTCATTTTTCTGCTTTTAGAGAATTTTGCTTGAAAATCTTTATAGTACCAACCAATGCCACAATTTGCTTATTGCAGAAGATGATTATGATAGAGTTTGGGATGAAACCACAGAAAATTCAGATATTGCTTATATTAAAAACCTTGATTCAAATAACCAACCATTTAGTTCGCATGCTGATGTTTTTTTTAAACCTGGTAACTTAGTTCAAGCTGATTTTCTTTTTAAACCTGGAAGCTTTGAATGTGAATTGGTTTTGCAGAGGAATATTCCCATCCACAAGAGACTTAGAGCACCCACTCAAGTTGGTGGCAAATCTCGTGGATTACTAGCAATTCATAGAGAGCTGTCTAAATTTAGAATAAGCAATCGCAAAAACATTTTTGTAATAAAAGATAAATCTAACAATGTTTTTTATTTTAAGTAAGTATTTTTTGTTGCTGATGCCATTTTTTTAAAAATAAATTAAAATAATTGTTATATGTTACTAATAGCTACATGCTGCTAAAAGTAAATACTTGATTTATGATAATGGTTATGATGATGATGATGATGATGATGATGATGATGATGATGATGATGATGATGATGATGATGATGATGATGATGATGATGATGATGATGATGATGATGATGATGATGATGATGATGATGATGATGATGATGATGATGATGATGATAAATAAATTCATGTAATTCAATACTCTCCTCAGATTTGTAGAAATTATCATAAGTAATGTGATCATGTGATCTCTTTCTCTACATTTTTATGTATATTTAACTGCTGTTGCCTTGTTACAAATATATTTTTTTGTGTTAGAAATTTATTTTTTTTGTGTTAGAAATTTATTTTTTTTGTGTTACAAATTTACTTTTTTGTGTTTTTTTTAAAGTAGGTGTGTACGTATAATCAAGTAGTCCAAATTGATTTTTGCATTGCCTTTGTCCGACAAATGCATCCCATTCTTTCATTGGCACTTAAAAAGTACATCTGCATTGTAACAATTGCACAAACATATATCAAACATTCTGTCAAAAGCTTTCAATTTGGAAAAAAATATAATTTCTTATAAGTCTAGAAATTTTATTTAAATTGGATGCTTTTTCCATTAATCTACATATTTTTGAGTAAATTCTTCCTATTTTGATTGTTGGAAAACTAAATTTATGCCATATATTTTTCATTTCTGTAATAACTAACTGATAACATTCATAAGTAGAAATTGACCCTTTGCCTTGAGCATCTTTATTTCTGCGTTCATAAAAGCAATATGTATATGTAAAGTTATGTATATATAAAGTATGAATGTAAAGTATATAAATATAAAATTAAAGTAGGTGGTACTAGTTAAAGAAGCAGGTTCATAGTTGTGGTGAAGGCCACATATCTAGGGATTAAAAAAACTCTGGGTTTAATTGTAGCTTAGGGTTTGGAGGAGCTTATAAATTTTTGTGTTAATCTTGCTTTTGACATACTAATACTTATCAAATCACATACTCACACACACAAAATTAAAAACATTTTCTAATATCGTTGTCATAATTTTTTGAAAAATAAAGTTATTTATTAAATTATTTTTTTTTTATATTAGAACTTTCTCTGAAATTTTGTATCTAATTCTTTGACTGATGTAAAAAAATAATTTGTATGTCCAAAATGTCCCTTTTTTTACTATTCTTTACTTTAGTATTCTTAAGTATAAGTCATGTATTTATTACTAATTTTTATTTAAATAAATTTAATAAAAACATAAAGTTAAAATATATTTATTTTAGTGTAGTTTAAGGGTTGTTTGCAAAATGTTTTATTATTAGATTGAAAGTTCTTATATATTTTTTCCACACTTTTTTAGAGTTAATGAAATAAAGTCCAATAGAAGTCAATCAATAATAATTTTGGATGAGGAATTTAATACCTTTAAACCTGTATCAAGACAACTATCACCAACGTCATCATATGCATCACTCCCAAAGTTTGAGGATCAAAATGACGTTTTTGAGGTTGTTTTTAATGCTTTAAATGGTATAAGAAACTTTACTTAAAAATATACAATTTAAACTGGGCACTTTTTATTTATTTATTTATTTATTTTTTATTTATAGTTATGTATACATATATGATTATATACATGTATACATAAGTATAAGTATGTATACATAAATATAAGTATGTATACATATATACACATATATATATATATATATATATATATATATATATATATATATATATATATATATATATATATATATATATATTTATTTATATGTATTTGTTCATATATATAGTCTTGCATGGTAGTTGAAAAGTTTATTTTATAAACTGTAGTTTTATAATAGAACACTAATAAATAAGACCAGAAAAAGATTTAAAACTTAAATAAAGTTTTTTTAATTATTTATAAAAAAATTTTTTTTTATAAATAATAGATTGCTTGCCCAAAGGCAAACCCTCAGTCACTTCCTTGTAGCAGCAGGCTGTAAGATAGTCTATGTAGCAACACTTCGCGCATCTTTTAGAAATATTATAAAACTATGAAAAAACAAAAACAATATTACTATTATTTAAAATAACTAGTCATTATTATTGCAGTTTTAAAAAAAAATAAAACTTAATGTACTTCCGCATTAATTTAATTGTTTTAACTTTTAGACAACATTAAAATGTAGCTTAATTGTTAAAAACACTTAAATCTTGTTACAAGAGGCTTTTGTTTTCCATAAAAGTCTCTTACAACTACAATATAAGGATATATATATATATATATATATATATATATATATATATATATATATATATATATATATATATATATATATATAAAATAATCTACTTTTTTTTTTTTTTTTTGCATGTTCCACAGTGAAAAATATTTTTCTGCTGTGAAACATGCTAAATCTGCCCAATGTAATTTACTCTGAAAATGAAGTTGCCATCTTCAATTTATCGTTGATCAAATATTTTATTTTTTTCTTAAAGAATATTTCAAGAAACTATCAAAAGAACTTTCCTAATTTTCATGTAAGTTAAAAAATACACAATCAAGTTATGTTTTTCCAAAAGTTTTGTCATAAAACTGAATTTTTTTATTAATATATTTGTGTTCATATTAAATCTTATGTTTTTATATTCAAAATTTTAAATAAAGATGTCAAAACACATTAATGTAACAAAAGTAATTTTTTACTTTTGTTTTTTCATAAGTTTAAATTCTTACTTTTGAATTTATGTAATGCGAGTTAAAATTTTGCATATTTTAAAGTTTTGTTACATTTTTAAAAATGTTTATTACTTACACAAGAAAGAATTAATATTTAATATCTGGTCTTTCTCTTCAAGAAAAAGCTTTCATAAGTTTAAATGAAAAATCTCTGAAGTCAGAGAGCAGCAGATTTTTTGTATAAACTTAGAATGAATGGAATTTCAATTACAATTCTTTCGTTTCATAACTTAAAAATAAGATTTTTTCTTACCAATTCTACTGGTATTGCTTTTAATCAAAAAATAACTTCTAACTGTTGTTAGAATACATTTTTTTAAAATAAAACACCTATTTATTGTAAAGCAAACAATATTGTAATTTAAATAATTGACACTGATAAAACTACTGGCTGTTTAAATAACTTAAAATAGTATTAGAAAAGGTGTACTTTATAAAGAAATAAAAACAGTTTTTCCAAGCTCTTAGAATTGCATATCTAAATAACACCAATCGCTTTTGATATGGTCTTTTAAATTGAATAAAATTACGTTGTGCACCATAAATAGTAAAAATACATGGTTTTTTAAAATAATTTTTTAGAAAAAAAACTGTCCATTAGTTCTTATTAACAAAATGGGGAAAAAAGAATTGGATGTGTGCGTGTGTGCATACACACAAGGCACACCCAATCCGACCACTCATAATTTTATAATTACTTGTATATGCAAAATATGCCTGTTGCAACACAAACACAACACAACAACACAACACAAACAATTGTTTATTGCATGGTAGATTGCATTTTTCAATAGGAGAATATTTTATATGCTTTTTATACATTAAAACCATATGTAGCTTGTTTTAGAGTATAGGTACATCACTTCCTCTATTGTTTTAGAGTATAGCTACATCACTTGCTAAGTGTGCACAAGTTTGACTTTAAAAAGAAAACATGAAGTCTGAATAAAAATAACTGTTTGTGTTATCATTCAGTGAATTAAGTCAACAGATAGCACTAATCCAAAATAAATCTTGTTAAAGACCAAAATTTACCACTCTAAAAACTAACAACATAATAGACTGTTTGTCTGTGAAAGACATACAAACAGCAAGCTCACAAATCCTTAATCAACTCCCTCCCAAATGTTTTTTTGCATCATCATGACCACTTATCAATCAGTTCTTGACATTTTATGCTTGGCTGATTTTTCATATATCCAAATGTTTTGTATTTTCTAGTTTAGTCACTGATGGTTTCTAATGCTATTCCAGTTGCTTTTTTACCAACCTAAATGTTTTATATTGCTTGAGCAAGTCAATAACTAAACTGTGCAGAGCTTGTGACCATTCTTTGATTTTAACTTTAATATCTAAGACTGTCAATGATAAACTAAATAAATTAATTTAAAAATATTAGTAAATTATTATTATTAACTCTTTAATATCAAACAAAAAGTCTAAAACTATTGATTTAAAACTATTTTCTAATAATCAGTTTCAAAGTTTGGTTTACAATGTAACATGTTCTGAAAATTATATTTCATTTAGGTTTCAACACTTTCTAAGGATTTAAGTTTTATTAAGTTATTAATAAATTTTATTAACTTATTTTTTTCTGAAATAACCTGAAAAAGTTCAATTTTTATAATAGAATTTTTTGTTTGGATACTTATCTCACTGACTGTATGTAGTTTTTTAACTTTTAAGTTTTGCTACAGGTTTTTAGGTCTTAATTTTGAAAACAACGGTAATTATCAACTGTAGTCAAAAGTCGTGTATACATATATACATATATATATATCAGGCCTTGGCATGAAATGGGAGCGATTGCTCCCATCATGTGAAACACGCTCGTTAATAGAATATTTATAAATTGCATGCTCGATAAAAAATGCTTGCTAATTTAGTTAGGAGAGTAAAAAACTGCGCTCGCCCTAAAAGTTTGGGAGGGAGAAAACTAATAATAGTTTATTTGATTTTATATTAAATTTTTATATAAAAAGTTTTAAACTTTTTTCTAAAAAGTGTTAAAGATTCTTGTTTAATTAAACAAAAAGTTCGCTTATTGTTAAAAACAAAATAATCTCTATTCACATTTCTTTAATTGCGTTTTTTCAATTGAGGTAAAATGTTAAAGTTATACTTCAATTAAAAAACTCATTTTTTCATGTTAACTTATGTCATTCAGTCGTAAATTTCTACAAACAATGAATGGTTATTTGTGGATGAGACTTCTTTATATAAAAGGTTTACAGCAAACATTTAACGAAATTAAATAAAAAAATTTTTAAAACTTATGTTATTAAAATTGTAATTTATATTATTTATAACTTAATTAAAATTATAAATTTATTTGAGAAAAAGAAAAGTTTAAGTTTGTGAAAACGTTTGCTAAAAAAGTTTCAAAAATTCTATTATCGTTAGCAACAAAATGTTTTAACGTTTTAATGTTTTAACTGTTTAACAATGTTTTAGCGAAAAGAAATCATGATTTCATTGTTTTAATGATGTGAAAACATTTTGAATTTATATTTTAATTAAACAAATAAAACAATGAAAAAATGAAAGCTTATAAACTTCTTTCAAATAAATTCAATGAAATAAAAAAAACAATTGATTGTAAGTTAAATACATAAAAGATAAATTTATTCTTTAAAACAAGATCATTAAGAAATAGTTGGGAAAAAAAACACAATCAAATGTGATCAAATAATAAATAAGTATTTAGGAAGTCGAAAGAACTATAAACGTTTTGTCAAGCAGTGCGCTGCTAAATAATAATTTTAAAATATTTATTATCTAAAGAACACTGTATAACAAATTAAAACTTAATAAAATTGTCTCTCGATAACTTAATGACGAGCGCGCATAATCGCGCTTGCTAAAAAAATATTTGAGTTTTACGGGCACGAAACATTGCGCTAGACATTTTTCTTCATGCCAAGGCCTGATACATATATATATATATATATATATATATATATATATATATATATATATATATATATATATATATATATATATATATATATATATATATATATATATATATATATATATATATATATACATATATATATATATATATATATATATATATATATATATATATATATATATAAATATATATATATATATATATATATTATTTTTTATATACATAAATTGTCATAATTATTTTTATTGAAATTTTACAGGAGAGTGATCAATCAACTTTGATAAGCAGTAGAACAGATGAAAGGTTTGCTGAGAACGAACAACAAGACTATATTCAATTTCTTGTTTATGGTATAAGTGAACCAGATCAAACTATAAAACATGAAATGATTCAGATGATATCAAACAAATTAGACAATGCAAATCTGGAACTTATCAGTGTATCTTTAATTCGTAATCCTAAATCTAAACTAACCCCTGAAGATGTTGAGGTGATGTTTTATTTTTTATTTTATTTACTAAAGAGTATAATACCTAAAACCTATTTATTGTTTATCTTTACACATTATCTTTAGTTTATACAAGCTAGGAAGCCATTAGCTTACAAACTTGTTTTGTGTGTATCTAATATGGCTGCACGTTTTATGCATGCAATTATGTTTTATCTGCATCAGCATTTGCTGTTACAATATAATACCCCTAAGTACTCTACTACAAACCCAGACTATCATTTCAAGAATTACACAGAGTATTGTAGCTCCACTGCAACAGAAGCAACTATACCTTCTAGTGATCTTTTTTTGTATAACCGTGATGTTATGAAAGAGGAATCAAATATTGGTTTGTGTTTTTTTTTGTGTGTGTTTTTTTTTTGTTTATTTTTTATTATTATTATTTTTTAATTTTAAAAATCATTTAAAGTAAATAAAAATTTTGAATTGAAATGTCTGATTAAAAAAAGAAAAGTTATTTTTGTTGTTATTTTGAAATTTTTAAAGGAATCGGTGTTATCTATATGAGCTTAGTAAATCTTGAAGGGATTAAGGTGGTTGCTCATCCATGTTATCCATCAATAAAGTATGAATTTATTAAGCTATCCCAACAAAAAGATATTTTAAGTGAGATGCTTTTATTGAAACAACTAGATTCATTAACTGAAGCAGATACCAATATATGTGAGTTATAAAATTGTGTTTTATATCATTTTTATTGGTTGATTTTTAGTTACTTTTTTGTTGATTCCAGTTTGTTTTGTATGTGTGTGTATGTGTCTTGTGAAGCAGATAAATTTACTAATATGTAGATTTACCTTTTTCAAGACAACGAGTTTTAAGAGTTTGAACTTTCTGTTTCTGATTTTTTTGTCAATTCTTTTAACTTTTTAAAACTTATATTTCTTGATAATGCAAAGTTACTAAATTTTTATTATTGAGCATTGTTTTGTTACGCTAATTTCTATTATGTTAATTATCATTTGTTAATTTCTCTCTTTGTTTTTTAAAAGGTAAAAATGTGATGATTCAGTTTAGTATTTGGGAGAGAGGTAATATTAATAAAGAAATGCTTATCAAGAGCTTAATCACCAATACACGATATGCTTTGAGTGATGTTTATATAGAATATGATTTACTTTGTACGCCAATATGCTTTGTTCCATTAACTCTTCAGCAATCTTTTCAATGTTCACGACGTCACTCTCTTGTCCATCCTGAGACTTGTTGTTCTCCTCATATGAAGCAAGGAGCAAGTAGCACTTCAACTACACCTCAGTTTGGAAAAAAGCAAATGATTTTACGAAAATTCCTTTCTGAGCCAACTACACCATGTGAAAATCAGCCTAATAAAGATGAAATAAAAGATGCCCCTGAAAGTTATGGAAGTTTCGAAATAAATGTAAATGATGCAGAAAAAAGAATACCACCTGTTAAAAAATATTCAAAGTAAGTTTTTTTTATCTTAATATATTTAATGTTTTTTATTTTTTGATAATTTATTTATACAGTTGATCGTGTGATAATTTAAGGACATGTGATATTTTAAGCTATTGTTAGAATTTTAATCAACAGGTAAAAAAAAATTTTTTTACCTGTTGATTTTTTCAGTTTTTTTAACCCAGACCATTAGTCAATACGTTTCTCTGTGAGTATTTTTATTTTCATTGAATGCAAAGTTTTTTTGTTTTTGTTTTTTTTTTGTTGTATAAATGTTGCTTATGAGGCATTTTAAATGTAAAAAATGTTTACAAGGACAAGATGCTTGCAAGAATGTGTAATTTTTTTTGTTCTTTTATGTATCTTTTTTTTCTCCTTTTGTCTCCTTAAGTAGAAAAGTATGTATTTATATAGTGTAATGCTATAAAAATTTTTTATGTTGTGAAACATTTTTTAAAGCATAAGTAAATGTATTCCAAGAAAAATAAAAAAAAAAGTAACATTTAAAATTTTCTAGGTTTGAAAAAAAGTTTTTTTAGAAAATACAACAAAAATACTAATTAAAATTATTATTATTATCTTTGAAGAAACAGAATGTCATAATTAAACATACAAAAATTGTTATAATGTTTTATTTTCTATTAGTTTTTTATTTAGCACACAAGATGTAAAGAACTATCAATGTATTAATTGAATAATACAATATAACATAATATAAGTTGAAATAATGTTGGCTGTGAATTTTAAGAAACAGTTTAGTTTAGAAAAGTCTTTTAAGAGATTTATCAGACTTGGCTAGGTAACATTGAATATATATATAACTTTAGAGTCTCCTCTCAGTTTTTCATTTTGCTCTATGTACATTTTGTATTATACACATTTAAGAAACCTTTACCCCAAGGATATGTCTAGGCATACTTTTTAGTTTAGCATTTGACCAATAACAGCTAATAAACCAATATATTTTTGTCAACAATGGTTTCAATAATTGTCAACAAGGATTTAAAAGTAACGCAATAAGGAATTGGTTACTTTGCTGTTCCATGTGTCTAAGTAAAAACACACCATTTATATTTATATACACCATACAGATAGTGTTCTTAAAAGCAATGTATAATCATTAGAAACAAACAAAATATATACTACATACTATTGATGTCAAAAAAATAAATTTTAATGAAACAAATAGCCTATAATTATCTCTCTAGCACTTTAAGCACACTAGGAGGATGAGAAGGACAAGGAGGAGGAGGCATTTCTTTTAATAGGGAAACTAGAATTTTTATTATAAAATTAAAATTAGTTAGAGCTAATGGTGTTTGCAAACAAAAACTTGTCCTTTTTTCAAAACAAGGTCCAAAATATGAGCATTACACCTGTAATAAGAATTAAGTCTGTTAAATAGTTCAGAAAATTATTTAACAGAAAGTTTAAAAATGTATTAACTTATATATTTTTACTAATTTGTTTTGGCAGACCAGGTTCCATAAATCATTAGGAATATTTTATTGGCTACATCATACACTAAAAGTGTTTTTTTTTTTTTTTAAATAAAGATACTAATTTATTTGGAGATTTCATTAGCTCATTGTGTTTTAAAGCGTATGTACTTAATAATAACATCTCTTGGTGAAAGACAAACTGTATGTTATTTTGATTTAAACTTTATTTAGGTTGTGTCAAAAATGTCAAAAAGGTTTCTACTTAAACAAATAGAAACTTTCAAAGTCAGATGCTACTGAATTTCATGACACACATGTTAGCAGCTGAAACAAAAAATTAGGATACATGTTTTTTTTTTAAGAACTTTAAAATATTATTAAGAGTAATGAAAAATTATGAGAAGGATTTTATTGGAGGATTTTGATAACCAGTTTCAATTAAAGCTTTAATCTCTAATGCTTTTTATCATTAAAAAGTTTAATGCTCCAAAGATACCTTTAACTGAGGAGGAACTAAAATGGAAGAAGTATTCAATACATTTATGGATTTGAAACTTTACTAGTAAATTTTTTAATTCAAATTTTTTAATGCAAATTTAACAGGTACTAAAAAAAAGTGATTCATAAAAGTTTTTAGAACACAAGGGAATAATTAAATCTTTGTAAAAGGATGTCACTTAACAGAATGTTGAGGATGTCACTTATTAGAAAGTTGAGGATGTCACTTAACATAATGATGAGCTTAAATGGAAATAAATTTTGTGATTTACAAAATATAGGATTGTTGGATAGATTTACAGAAAAAATCTATCCAATAATCAGAATTACAAAAAAGTACAAAAATTACATAAACTACATTTCATTTTTCAATCCTGTAACTTTTTATATTTGAGTTTGTAAGGCTTAGCAGAAAACTTTTATTAACTAGCTCCACACCTCTTCTTTATTTAATAGGCTGACATTTATGTAAGCTTGCTTAGTTTATTGCTTAGGGTCTCAAGTACTATTAATGATTGAGACAAGTTTTCTCAAATTTAAAAGTTTAAACTAGGCCTCTTGTGCAAAAAATAAAACCGTGTATGCCACTAAATTGTTTTAATCCAAAATATTTGTAGTCTTTAAAGTGATTTTGAATCCATTGAATTATTGAATCCATTGAATTATTGAATCCATTGAATTATTGAATCCATTGAATTATTGAATCCATTGAATCTTACCTCTTGCAAAAGAGGTAAAATTCAATGGACAATAATTATCTCTTCTTAACTTCTTTGTATTTTATATACCTCCTCTTTTTTCTAGAAATTTGCTTAGCTTCTCTTCTTCGTAGTAGATTTTTATCTTTTCTCTACTTTCTAGAAATTTTTATATCATCTCTACTTTCTTGACATTTTATCATCTCTACTTTCTAGAAATTTTTATATCATCTCTATTTCTCTACTAGTAAAACTAAAATAGTTGTTGATTGTAGCTTAGTTGGAAGTGAATTAAGAACAAAACTTGTGTTAGGTTATTCAAAATCCTTTTTTAAAGTTAAAGAAAACCGTATATTTGTTGTTATAGATTTAATGTTAGTGATTTCAGAGTCCCTAATAAGTAGGTTAGGCAAAACTTCCCCCTGATTTGACACCCTGACATTTTTATACTTTTTTACTTTATTCTTAAGTAGTTGTTAATGAATGATGGCATTACTTTTGTTATTGACACAACTTAATGCTCTATAACATAGCAACGACATAAAAACAAATAAAATGTAACACAAGTAAATATATGTATATTAAATGTAAGTATTAAATGTAAATATTAAATGTAAATATTAAATGTAAATATTAAATGTAAATATTAAATGTAAATATTAAATGTAAATATTAAATGTAAATATTAAATGTAAATATTAAATGTAAATATTAAATGTAAATATTAAATGTAAATATTAAATGTAAATATTAAATGTAAATATTAAATGTAAATATTAAATGTAAATATTAAATGTAAATATTAAATGTAAATATTAAATGTAAATATTAAATGTAAATATTAAATGTAAATATTACATGTAAATATTAAATGTAAATATTACATGTAAATATTAAATGTAAATGTTAAATGTAAATATTACATGTAAATATTAAATGTAAATATTACATGTAAATATTAAATGTAAATATTAAATGTAAATATTAAATGTAAATATTAAATGTAAATATTAAATGTAAATATTAAATGTAAATATTAAATGTAAATATTAAATGTAAATATTAAATGTAAAGAAAGTATATAAAAATATATATAAGCAAAATTATTGAGAAAAAATTTTATTTGTTGACATTGACAGAATGGGTATTGTTCCATTGCAATAGAAATTATAAAGTAATCCTTTTTTTTTAATTTTAACTAAATTCTGTTGATTTGCAATTAAAAAAGTGTAATTTAAGAAGTTACCTAAAAATAAAAAAAATATATGATAATTTTAAATGAAATGTTAAAGATAATATTTTTGCATTTGTTTCATGTTATCTTTTATTTAATTAATATTTTTTATCTGACAAATTTCTTTTTATCACTAAATTATTCTGTAAGTTTAAATGTATTGTTAAGTTATTTTAGAAACAAATAAAAAATAAAGCATTTGTGAATCTAATCAAATTGAAAAGATCTTATGTTCTGGCATAATTTACAGATTTTCATTAATATCTAAATGTTCAAATTTCTGGGTTTTATTTTAGTGACTGCAGTTCTAGCATGAGTAGTAGTCGACCTTCACTGAGTCGGCACAGTACACTTTCTGATAAAGATTTTCAAGAAACATTAACTGGAGCTGTAGCTAATGATTTAAACCAAGCTTATTATGTTCTTACAGATGCAGAATGTTCAGAATCATTAAAAGCAACAGATACGAGTAACAAAACCTGGGCAGAAATTGAAATTCAGAGGAGAACAGAACTTAGTATTCGTAAAGAAAGACGCAAGTTTGAAAATGGATTGTCAGGTGATCTGCATTACCAGTAAGTTTTTATTGCAATTTCTATTCTAGAAATGTTTTTATAAAGTTAGGAATTATTTGTACATGTGTACAACTAATTTTTTCTTTTTCGTAAGCGCATATTTAAGTCTGAATTATTATTATTCATTTTGATTAATTCACTTAAAAATCTAGTGTGATTTAATTTATTAATTTTTTATATAAACTAAATTAATTTGTAAACCCTGTTTAAATAAATATTAAAATGCTTTTCTTTAATTTAAAAAATCTGCCCAAACCTAAACTTCATGTATGTGCATTTTCAGGTCAGGTTATTATGCTGCTGGTAACATGTAACCCAGTACAAGCTGTATTGTTTCCTTTTGTCTTGTAGGGCACACTTTTTTAGACAAAGGCCAGGAGATGCCAACTCTGACTTAACACACCCTCTGTCCTGGTGCTCTTAGTTTAGTAAAGGCTATAGATAATGTCTCAATAAAAATACTCATCTTGGGCAGATGTTAAATGCACCTTGTTACTGTCTTGTAGAAGACTTAAAGAGTAAACAGATTCTTTCTGTTACATTTACTACATTTAAGTCTGTGTGTAAATGGCATGGCAACTGATTCTGTTATCTCAGTTTAAACTCAGTTTAATGGTTCTGAGGCCGGCTGGAAGTCAGCTTTACTAAACTCTGTGGTAGCACTCAATAAGGTTGATTCCATCAACAGCTGTAAAATCTCAGAGTACAAATAGTGCCATGTTGCACATCAATGGTGTTCCTGTACGTACTTTTGTTGTGCATTATTGAGGCCACATTTGGAACCTTTTCTTGCAGCTTAGGTTTTATGAATAGTAATCAGGCAATTGCTTAGACTATAAGTAGTCTATTATTGCTTGGCTCAGGCATTTGTCAGGAAACTAGGTTTGAATCCACAGAAGAGTCTTTTATGTGCTTTCGTTTAGCGCTACTTCACTCTATTACCTTTCTCTTTGTTCTATATGTCCTTCATCTCATTTCTGCACTCTTTTTGATGTTATTTCTGATCAAAATTTATCAAGCCCTTTCTCTTTATTTTTCATTCAATATTGCTGTTATTGGTGACTTTAATGCTTATCACACTGAATGGCTAAGCTCTAGTATCTGTGACTCTGCAGGTGTTAAGAACCATAACTTTTGCCTTTCTTGGCAATAGAAATTATCTTCAATGGTCAGCACTCTTTTTTTTCTTTCAGATTCTATTCTTTATATCTATAAGTCTCAAATCCATACTTGTATGGAATACTGTTGCCATATCTGGAGCGAATCTTCAAATGATCCCCTTTTTTTTTTAGACAAGGTGCAAAAACGCATTGTAAACATAATTGGACCTGCTCTTGCAGCCAACCTTCAACCATTGTCTCATAGTTGTAATGTTGCTTCTCTTTTTACTATAATGGTCATTGCTCCAAAGAGTTAGCATCTCTTGTGCCATCTTATAAAATTTATTCTCATGTCATTCTTTTAAGTCACATTTTTTTACTGTTTCTCTAAAAATTTACTGTGTTAAAAGTGCTCTAAAAATTCTTATTTGTCCAGTTTTATTACTTGAACATTAGTTCTTTGGAAATCGATTTCTTCATCTCGCTTTCCTGATTGATTTAATTTTCAATCTTTCAAGTCGTCTGTTGCATTATTTGTACACGCATACAAATAATTCCTTTTATAAATTACATATAAAAATCTTAAAATGTAAATTTTATTTATTTATGCTGAATTAAATACATTTTTATTTCACATTTAAATAGTTGAAAAGTTTAGGGTATCTTTAGGAGACAAAAGTTGGAAGAGCTGAAAGTAAGCTAAGATTAGGTAAATTATAAGTTTATTAAATTTATATTCCAGCTTATTAGTTTAGCTATAAAGAGTGCTATAAAGTTTTAATAAAGTAAGAGTATGTATGACTATGAGACTTGTTTTGTAAGCAAAATACAGTTTCAAGTCTCACTGCATCTTTGGTAGTAGCAAGCTGTTTCTCTACATAGTGGTTTTAATATTCAATGTTTTTCTTAAGGATTTTCAAGGTTCATTTTTTGGGATATCAAGGTTTGTCTTATTAATTTATAAGGCTATCTGACACTAGTAACAACATTTTATTTAAAAAATGAAATGTTTTCCCCTTACTCTAATAAATCCTTTGTTCATGTGAATCTATATTAAATAGTATCAATTAAAAAGAATTGTAGTGTATGTGAGTGTGTGTAGGCTGTGTAGAGTAGTTAAAGTGCTTCTATTTAGATTTTTAGATCCTGAAAAAATATTTGGTTAATTACTGCAAACCAACTTGAAACTTAGAACTTGTTTCTCCACAAAGTATTCTTGTTAGTCAATGTTTTTGTTCAAGTTGCAAATAAACATTTTTATTTTGTTGTTAATTTTAACGTTCAAGTTATTAAGATGCAAATAAACATGCAAATAAAGCTTTTTATGATTTATAAAATATGAAGTTTTAAACTTAATAATTTTAATGTACAGAATAAAATTGAATTTTTGAAATTGAATTATCTTTAGTTATGTAATAGAAAGTTTTTATGATTTCACAATTTAAAAGTACCTGATTTTAAAGGTTTTTATTGAAATTAGAAGTTGATGAGACAGTCTAAATAAAGTAAAAGTAGTGATTTCATTTCATTTTAAACATTTTTCATATCAAGTTTATGCTTTGCATTTTATTGCACATTCCAATTTTGTGCATTTAATATCAAAATATTTAACTATATTTTGTTAATAATTAATACTCTGTATTTTCCTATCAAGTTCTTTTTATGTAAAATATAAACTGTGCATCTCATATCATGATTTTACTTTTAAACTTTGACACAATCTTTTTGATAAACCAGATAAATTTTTTAGCAGAAATTTGTATAATGATTATTAGAAAATTCAGCTTATAATTAACAATTAACAATTAATAATTAACAATTCATTTTTTGAGTTTTTTGTACTTGTTATATAATAAATATTTTGTATATACATGTATATCTTCTAATCTTCTAAACGTGTATATATATATATATATATATATATATATATATATATATATATATATATATATATATATATATATATATATATATATATATATATATACATACATACACGTTTAGAAGATTAGAAGATATACATATATATACAAAATATTTATTATATAACAATATATATATATATATATATATATATATATATATATATATATATATATATATATATATATATATATATATATATATATATATATATATATTACACACAATTTTAGTTACTCAGGTTGTGCTCATAGTTTATTTGATGAACTTATAAATATGGAGAATGCAAGTCTACTTAAACACATTGGGGTTTTAACCCACCATTATTCGATGGAAATTGTTTTGAATGAAGTTGTCAAAGAGTTTTTAAAATGTTCTCCTGATATAAAGCCAAAAGTATTTAAAGGCATTAGAATGTATTTACTTTATTTTATTAAATGCTTTCAAAAATTTAATTATATATTTTTATAACCAATTTTAATTATTTTTGCAATAATGTTATAAATAATTATATTGTAATTATTTTGTAGTTATAAATTTTATTATTATTTCATTTTTACTATTATTTACCATGATAGGACTGATGGTGACTTTATGTATACACAAGTGAAAGATCACAATGAAAGCAGGGTAAGTAAGAAGTTGATGGCTTTTTATTAATATTCTGATTCACTCCCAATAAGGTTGCAAGCAACCACTATTAATTTAGGAGTTACTAGGCAACCACTATTAATTTATGAGTTACTAGGCAACCACTATTAATTTACGAGTTACTAGGAAAAAAAGAGTTAAAAAGTTAAAGAGTAAAAAAACAGTTGACAGATGATTTGAAAAGTTGTAATTTGTATGAGTCAGGAACGCATAAAGATGGGAGATAGTTACTAAGGGTTTAAGTACGGGAAAAAAAATCAGACAAATATTTTATAATAGAGCATGCATGTGAAAATACAGTAAAAGATTTAGACTTAGCTTAATGACGAGTCAAGCAAGAATGAGTTTTAGTTGATAGAACTAGTCATGATAGCTCCTTTGAGCAGCAACCATGATAGTATTTGTAGAAAAGTGAACTTTACGACGGATGGAGAGAGACTTAAGCTTCGCAGATAAAGGGGACCCAACTATGTTAGCAATGCGTTTTTGGGTTTTATCTAAAGGAGAAAAAGCATCGTTAGAAGAACCAACCCAAATGTGACAACGGTATTCCATACAAGGACAAATTAAAGATTTTTAGAGGTAGAGAATGGAATCAGGAATAAGAAAATGGCAAGAACAATAATGAGAAGCCACTTAGGATATGGTAATTTAGCAATCGATTGTATATATGGTTTTCATGAGAGTTTTATGAGAGTCAGTATTGAACAATAATCCAAGAAGAGGTAAAGAAGAGGACTCAATAAGAGGGTTGCCATTTATCAATATAGGAATGTCAGCAGTAGTGCGATAGTTATTTGCAGTAAATAACTGAGTTTTGTTGGAGTTAAAATTCACTAGCCACTGAAAGATCCAATCTTTTACAGAAGTGAGATCAGATTCAAGATCGACAATCAAAAAAAGGACTTTTTGTCAAGACAGGAATATAAAGTTAAGTCATCAGCGAAAAGAGCTACTTTAGATGTATAGTTGTCAGGAAGGTCAATAATGTAGATAAGAAACAAGATAGAACCTTAGGAGTTACTGGAAATGAAGTGTTGTCCTTTGAGGATGACTTTAATAAAGTGGTTAGAAAAAAATGATTTAATAACCTCAAAAACTTTCCCAGATACACAATTAAAGCAAAGAAATTAAAGGAGAAGAAAGTTTATTGAAAGCTTTATATATATCAAGAGCCCTAGTCTTACCAACTTCATCTAGTGCATGTTAAAATCTTTCTGTTACAGCAGTTAGCAAGTCAGACGTAAAGCAAGAGGGTTGAAAACCATATTCATTGACAATAAGTTATTTGACTCAAATGGGATGTGAGAAATTTGTAGATTAAAAATTCGAAAACCTTGCTAATAACAGATATAAGACTGATCAGAAAATAGTTGAAATGGTCAGAACATTCTCCAAATTTTTTAAAAATTGGAACCACAGATGTCATATTTCAACAGGTAGGAAAACAAGACTCAGTCAAGCACTTATTAAATAATTTACAGAATATTAAAGAGAGTTCTGGAGAACAATTTTGTAAGACTATGACAGGAATGTTGGCTGGACCGTGTAAGAGTTAAATTGTGTTATGATTTTAGCAACAGAAGCTGGAGTTATTTGAGTGTCTAACAATGGGTTAACTTGTTTAAATTTAGTGAATAATGGAACTTATCACCAGACAGCACCTTTTTACATGTTTTATTTGCAATGATAAATAGACCTTTGTTCTCAAGAGAGTTGTTTTTACGATTAGGTGTAGCAGCTGCACAAGAAGGTAGAAACCATGGAGTAGAATGAGGCTTGACTAGGAACCAATGAGAAAGAATAAAACTTCCATTCCTGCCTGAATTCATGTGGTTATGTAGGAGGTGCATTTATCAGCTGAGAGAGAGAAAAGATATCAGCCTAAGGACCATCATAAAGAAAATCAGGAAAAGAACCCCAGTCAGCTTTAGGGTAGTAGTAAGTAGTGCGATAATAGGGTGAGTTTGAAAAAGAAATACAAGATGAAAGATTTATACAGATCATTGCATGGTCAGAACCACCTAAGAGAAAAAAAGGAGAAACTGAACACTAGTTAGTGTCAGAGACGAGATACAAATCAAGTTAGGGTTGTCTGGAAAACTAGTCAAAAAGTTAATTTTTTTGAGTAAGAGATTGATAAATGCAGAAGTTCTTGCTTTAGTGCTCTAGTTCAGTGGCGTTAAAGCCAAGCCATTTAGTGTGATAAGCATTAAAGTCTCCAATAACAACAATTTTGGGATAGGAATAAAGAGAAAAGCCATAGTCAATTTGGTCAGGTATTCGATCTGAAAGATTTAGTCAGGTATTAGATCTGAAAGATTTGTCAGGTATTCGATCTGAAAGATTTGGTCAGGTATTAGATCTGAAAGATTTGGTCAGGTATTTGATCTGAAAGATTTGGTCAGGTATTCGATCTGAAAGATTTGGTCAGGTATTCGATCTGAAAGATTTGGTCAGGTATTTGATCTGAAAGATTTGGTCAGGTATTAGATCTGAAAGATTTGGTCAGGTATTAGATCTGAAAGATTAGGTCAGGTATTAGATCTGAAAGATTTGGTCAGGTATTAGATCTGAAAGATTTGGTCAGGTATTCGATCTGAAAGATTTGGTCAGGTATTTGATCTGAAAGATTTGGTCAGGTATTAGATCTGAAAGATTTGGTCAGGTATTCGATCTGAAAGATTTGGTCAGGTATTTGATCTGAAAGATTTGGTCAGGTATTTGATCTGAAAGATTTGGTCAGGTATTAGATCTGAAAGATTAGGTCAGGTATTAGATCTGAAAGATTTGGTCAGGTATTAGATCTGAAAGATTTGGTCAGGTATTCGATCTGAAAGATTTGGTCAGGTATTTGATCTGAAAGATTTGGTCAGGTATTCGATCTGAAAGATTTGGTCAGGTATTAGATCTGAAAGATTTGGTCAGGTATTCGATCTGAAAGATTTGGTCAGGTATTCGATCTGAAAGATTTGGTCAGGTATTTGATCTGAAAGATTTGGTCAGGTATTCGATCTGAAAGATTTGGTCAGGTATTAGATCTGAAAGATTTGGTCAGGTATTACATCTGAAAGATTTGGTCAGGTATTCGATCTGAAAGATTTGGTCAGGTATTCGATCTGAAAGATTTGGTCAGGTATTCGATCTGAAAGATTTGGTCAGGTATTAGATCTGAAAGATTTGGTCAGGTATTAGATCTGAAAGATTAGGTCAGGTATTAGATCTGAAAGATTTGGTCAGGTATTAGATCTGAAAGATTTGGTCAGGTATTCGATCTGAAAGATTTGGTCAGGTATTCGATCTGAAAGATTTGGTCAGGTATTCGATCTGAAAGATTTGGTCAGGTATTCGATCTGAAAGATTTGGTCAGGTATTCGATCTGAAAGATTTGGTCAGGTATTTGATCTGAAAGATTTGGTCAGGTATTAGATCTGAAAGATTTGGTCAGGTATTAGATCTGAAAGATTAGGTCAGGTATTAGATCTGAAAGATTTGGTCAGGTATTAGATCTGAAAGATTTGGTCAGGTATTCGATCTGAAAGATTTGGTCAGGTATTTGATCTGAAAGATTTGGTCAGGTATTCGATCTGAAAGATTTGGTCAGGTATTAGATCTGAAAGATTTGGTCAGGTATTAGATCTGAAAGATTTGGTCAGGTATTCGATCTGAAAGATTTGGTCAGGTATTCGATCTGAAAGATTTGGTCAGGTATTCGATCTGAAAGATTTGGTCAGGTATTCGATCTGAAAGATTTGGTCAGGTATTCGATCTGAAAGATTTGGTCAGGTATTTGATCTGAAAGATTTGGTCAGGTATTAGATCTGAAAGATTTGGTCAGGTATTAGATCTGAAAGATTAGGTCAGGTATTAGATCTGAAAGATTTGGTCAGGTATTAGATCTGAAAGATTTGGTCAGGTATTCGATCTGAAAGATTTGGTCAGGTATTTGATCTGAAAGATTTGGTCAGGTATTCGATCTGAAAGATTTGGTCAGGTATTAGATCTGAAAGATTTGGTCAGGTATTAGATCTGAAAGATTTGGTCAGGTATTAGATCTGAAAGATTTGGTCAGGTATTAGATCTAAAAGAGTGCAATCTTAAGAAGAAGGAGAGCAATAAAGAGAAAGGTTTGAGAAGAAGTGCAAAACAGAAGCACATAAAAGTATAATCAAAAGATTCAAACCTGATTTCAGGATAATTAGGTGAATTGATGCCTATGTATATTCCTAAGCCAAGCATGTGACTATTGGAGTCTTTACAAATCAAAGGCTAGTAATCATCAACACTGAGATCTGAAGGAGTCAACTAAGTATTTTTTTAATATCATCTGAAACTTGTTACAGTATTTTATTATCTGACCTACTGTGCTTTTTAAAATTTCGTTCAAGTTGTAATCTTGTAGTACTTTAGCTACAGCTAAAATGTTTTTTTCTATATTATATATGTTTATCCTATTTTTGCTCTCTTTTACTACTCTAGTAATTATTACACTGTTAAAGTATTTTATTACTATTTTATTTTTATTATATGTTATTTGTTTTATAGTATTATAGATATATAATAATATAAAATAAAATACTTTTGTCTTGTTGCTCTAATTTTGTTTAACCTAAATATTGCTGTTTTAATTGATGCTGAATTGAGAGAAAATCTAAGATCTAACTATTGATATCAAAAGAGATTTTTCTTACATCTTCTACATCTCATGTTGCAATATCAAACAGAGATGACAGTATATTAGTAAAACTTAAAGTTGAGCTGCATAACATTTTTTTCTTCTAATCTAAGTAATGATTAATGTGCTAAGTTTTCACATTAATAATTTTTGGAATTAGTAAATAAGTTAATTCTTAAGATGAACTGTATACATACTAATATTTAGTATTATAGACTGTATATATACTAATATTTCTGTATTATATATCAAAGTTAAAATCTTTTGTATACATATTATATTTAAGAATATTTCATGTTCTGTAGGCTGACAGCATTAAAACTTCTCTAAACAATGAATCTCTCATTCCTGGCAATTGGTGCAGCTATATCGTTATTGGAAGGAATGCACAAAAATGGTTACAAAGCATGGGAACAGATGAATCTGGTTATAATTTTTTAAATAGTTACTAAATTTATTTCATTTTTTTATAATTTCAATAATTTACAGCTAATTATTTACTTATAGTTTAATTATTTTGTAGTTAATAGTTTTATTCAGTTATCTATTTTATTCTAATATCTTTAGTATATAAATAAATTATGGTATATAATTAATATATTATATAGTTAGTAATGCAGTTGGGAGAATGCTGCAGTGAAACTTTTAAAATACTTTATAAAAACATAAAAATTCTTTAAGCAAAGTTTAATTCATATTTTTATATGTTTATTTTTTTTTATTATAATTTTTTTTTTATTTGTATTCACTCCCAACAAGGCTGCAAGCAACCACTATTAAGTTGGGAGTTACTAGGAAAAAAAAGAACAGAGTTATAGAGCAAGGAAACCGTTGACAGAAGACTTGAAAAGTTGAAGGTTGTATGAGTCAGGAAAACATGAAGATGGGAGAGAGTTCCAAAGGATTGAAGTGCGGGGAAAAAAACTAGATGAATAAAAGTTTTTAGAGCATGCAGGGACAGATACAGTAAACGAATTAGACTTAGCTGAATGATGAGTAAAATGAGAATGAATTTTAGTTGATGGAACTAGAGATGATAACTCCTTTGAGCAGTGACCATGATAGTATTTGTAGAAAAGAGAAAGAGATGCAACTTTACGACGATGGGAAAGAGGCTTAAGCTTAGCAGATAGTCCAGGTCCAACAACATTTACAATGCGTTTTTGGACCTTGTCAAGAAGAGAAAGTGAATCGTTAGAAGAACCAGCCCAAATATGACAACATTATTCCATACAGGGACGAATAAGAGATTTGTAGAGGTAGAGAATAGAATCAGAAGTAAGGAAATGGCAAGCACGATAAAGAGAAGCGGAGGCTAAATCATTTTGTTTAATATTTGATCATTCTTGAACTCAGTCAAATAACTTCAAAAATTTTTTTAAAAATATGTTTTAGATTTAAGCTTCAAATCATTTTCATCTAAAAAAATGAATAGCTTCTCATTAATCCATCTTTCCGAAGGTGTAGCATAATTTTTTAAATGTAAAAGTAAATTACTTTTGTCATTACTCCCTCTATTTTCATACAGTCACCTGTGGCATTCTAACCAAAACAGCCCCACACCTTAACACTACATCCCCCATGTTTTACAGTCAATAATGCACACTATTTTATAATAAATTCAATAATTTTTTTTTTCTAGACAAACAATCTTATCTTGAAACCAAAGATGTAAAACATGTTGGTCCGCATTTACAGTCATTGATGGTCCATTTTTTATGAAGTTTTGTCTCCTTAAGCATTTTTATTCTTTTGATTTTTATCAAAGTATTTTAACCAAAATACTTTTAAATTATCTATTAGTGCAAAAAAAAACATAAAAAATAGTTAAATAAAAAATGGCTTTTTTAATTTAAGTTAATGTCATTTGAATAATTATGAATGGTAGTGTGTATATATATATATATATATATATATATATATATATATATATATATATATATATATTAGGGTGTCCCAAAAAACAACATTTTTGAAAATAATATGCTCTCACCCCCTAAATGTGTTCTATCTAATACAAAAATACTAGGTTTAAATTTTTTTTGAATAAAAAAAATTTTAAGGGGTCCCTCAAGACCCTCGAATATTTAATGGGTCCCTAATATTTTCGAAAAAAAAGTTTTTCAAAAATATGTCAACCTGGTACTCAAATGAAGCGAAATTATATAAATATTTCAAAAATATTATTCATTTCGAAATATTTTTAACTTATTTGTCAAGATTATCATAAAAAAACAATAAAAATGCATTTTTTTCATTTTTTCTTAAAAAACACAATTTTTATGTAATAAAACCAAAAATAACAATTTTGTTTATATATAATATATATATATATATATATATATATATATATATATATATATATATATATATATATATATATATATATATATATATATATATATATATATATATATATATATATATATATATATACGTATATATACGTATATATATATATATATATATATATATATATATATATATATATATATATATATATATATATATATATATATATATATATATATATATACATACAATAAATAAATGTTTATTTAGAAGTATCTGATGATGAAGAAGGAAAACAGTCCAATCAAGGTTTTTTATTTTCAATTTTTTTTTTTAAATTATGGTACACTCTTAACTCTTTAATTTCGAAACACAAACCAGAGGCGTGATGGTGATCAAACTTAGTATTTCTTGCTTAAAAGCAAGTGCTCACTCATAACTGCCACATTTTAATTTTATAACTTTTATGATAATTTTATTGATTCATAAATTAGTGTCAAATAATGTTAACTAGAAGATTTCATTTTTTGAAATAATTCTGCTTTTGATATCAACTGGGAACAAACTATTATGTGTAAATGACCTTAAAGATTGCAAATAAAACTTAAGGAATATTAATATATGTTAATATATCCTAATAGAATACCTTGGAGTTTTAGCAAATAAAAGTCATAGTTACTTTTTCAGAGATAAGCAAAGTTATTTCTTTATCTTTTCAGAAATTTTGTTTTGTTGAAAAAGTGATGAAATTATGATTTAATTACACTGCAAGTTTAATTAGTTTGATGTTTAATTAAAACATACTTCTGATGGGTAATCACACTCAGGGCGGCCCACAGGATTTTTTGATGTTTCAGAAATAACACTTTCATGTATTGTGCTAACTCCAAGCTTAAGTATGTTCATTAGGGTTATGACTTTTTAATTTAAAAAAAAAAAAAGTTAGTTTTTTGTGTCACAAATCGATGAACTTTTATTAGAAAACATTGAAAGCATGTTCAATTCCTCTTGGTTGTAAAAAAAACACCCTGCAATTCAAATTACGTTTCGTCATTTATTTAATCTTGTTACTGCTACTAACAATATGTGTGGTTTTCCTGCAAATCATTTAAAACTTGTATAGATTAGAAGTGTTTAGAACTTTAGAACATTTTGAAAAATAACAGAATATTTTAGAAGACTTTAAACATTCTAGAACAATTTCAAACATTCTGGAACAATTTAGAACATTCTAGAACAATTTAAAATATTTTGGAACATTCTAGAACAATTTAGAACATTCTGGAATATTCTAGAACATTTTAGACTATATGTAGCTGCTCATCTAATTTTATAGTTATTACAGAAGCAACACATTGCATCGTACAAGTCTAGCGATAATAGCATTCAGAAGAACAAGGATGTCTGGACTAATAATCTGGTAAAATTTGAAGACTCTCATAAAAAAAGAAGAATGGTCCATTTGGAAGATTATTCACTGGAAGAAAAGTGCAGAATGCCTTTCCAAAAGCAAATTATCGGATGCTACCATTTCCTTGGACCAAAAATCAAAGGAAGAAAAGAGCAATAAATAGCAGAAATTTCCAAAGAAGTCACCAAATTGTGGAAGAATAAACAGATTTTTCCTCATGTATCTAATCAAGTTATACGAGCAAAGCTTGATAAAATACTGAAATGTTATGATGAATGTGTCAAGCGGAAAGCCACAAACCCCTTGATGAAGTTTTTGATATTACTAAAGTGGATGGAACATGGTTATTTGGGTGTCCCCCCCACACAAAAAAAAGCTCTCTACTGATTCCCATTCTATGTGACCTAATTAAGTCTTGAAAACAATTTGACGGTTTTATTTTGTGCTAGATATAAAATCTGAGTTTTACGGTTTTAATGCTAAGCTGGCTTAATATTAATAGAAAACACAATTTTTGTGTATAAATCATTTTTAATTGTTTTCGCTACTATTTAACTTGATCGTTTATATTTATAAATATGAAAATATAAAAAACTATTTATATTTATAAATATGAAAATACATAAAAACTATTTTTTAACAAATTTAACTTTTTGAACAGTTCCCAAGCCCTTTTTTGGTCATACTCTTAGTCAAGTTTTTTCAAGATTTTTTAACTACAAAAAGTACATTTTGAAGGTGATCTCTGAGCTAGTATAAAAGAATGGTTCATTCTTTTATACTTGCTCTTGATATTTTAGAATGTTTGAAGAGATAGTAGCTTTGCTCAGAAATGAGCTCAGGTAGCTCTGCTGTCTCTCCAGTTTGTGCATTTGATGGTTTACAATGCTGAAATTCATTTGGCTCTTCAAACACGATCAGAGCTAACAGCATTTTTAACTTTGTTTCAGAAGGAACCTCTTCATCACCAAAAGACAAAACAAAGAGTTGCAGAGTTAAGTACCATGTATGGCGTCCCATGCTGAGAAGCAAAGCATTTCCAATCTTTTTACTGACATTTCTCAATGCATAGGCTGTCTGGATAGCTTTCAAATCATTTTAGGGAGCCAGAAATCCTAAAAAACTTTTCAAAAACCATGGAACATAGCAAATTGCAATGAACTAACTTGCATCCTTCAACTGCAGCAGTTCATTTTCTGTCAAGATATTACTGATATCTTTGGTCATATAAAGAGTCAGGATGTAGATCGCATCTGCTAAAAACCTTGCCTGGTGGCAGGCACCAGGTTGAAGGAACTTAAAATCTTGTACTTCTGCTCCACGGAAAGAGGCAAGCTTACAAACAATACCATAATCATTCCTTAAAAACACCTTTTCAGTAGTTGCATTAGTCATAAATGTCTTAGCTTCCTCTGCATCAGTGCGAAGAACAGAGCCAATTTTCAGATCATCTCTTTGCCAGTCCAATTTACATAAATTTTTCACTTCAATAACTTTCTTACAGATTTCAGGGCCACTTGTTGTTTAGCTTGACATAAAGAGCTCTTCTTGGACCTTTAGTTTTCTCACCAATAAGAGCAGCCATATAGTGAGATATATGTACTTCATATATGTGTCTCCTACACATTATCCAAAACATTAGTAATTTAAAAATATCTGTAAGAAATTGGACTGCTCCATTGACTCCGCCTGTATTGCTTGCAGTTGTATCACAGCGTTATCACAGCTTGCAGTTGTATCACAGCGATCTGCTCTTTACATCCATAATATTCAAAAAGATTGTGCACTTGTTCTGCTTGGTCAACTCCCTTTGAAAATAGACATTGAACAACACCTAAAAGATGGTCTTCAATAGTATCGTTATCCAGGGAGCTCACTGAGACTGCAAGTCTCTCAATTTTTTGAATAATGTTAAGCCCAGTGCTAATTTGTTCCAACAGTTTAGTATCAAAATGAAGAATAAGCCGTTGGTCTTTAAGATGATTTGTTATTGAAATCCACTCCAAGTCTCATTCAAGTTCTACATATTTGAACTTTTTTCTATGAATTGTGCTTTGTGAAAGCAGTATATCATTAATTTCAATACCTTCCAGCTTTAAATACTTCACTTAAAATTGCCAGATGAAGTCATACACCAACATTGGACCTTGTTGCTGGAATAGCAGTACATTCAATGAGCTTTTCAACATTCACTGTCAGAATTATCCTATCTTCAGAATTGCACCTAGGTATCATTTAATAATATTTTTCTACCTATTTATAATTATATACTTTTCAATAAAACAGCTTTAGTTTGTAAAAATTACAACTATGTTATTAAAATAATACTATACCTGCGATCGTTACCAAGGAAATCTTCTTCCTCACTGATTTCAGAGTCCTTGTTTAAGTTTTCTTCCTAACTGCTGAATTGAATCTCTTCTGTCATGGAGTCATGTGACAACAAAACATCATTGATATCTTTCATGTTTTTCTGTCTCTCTAATTCTTTATCTCTCAACTTATCTAGCTTGTTCTTTCTCCTATTTACATCCAGTACTCTCCTACTGTAGTCTCCATTGACTTTTGTTCCCATGTATCCTTTTGTATCCAACTTCTGGTCTTCATAAAAAATAAAAAAACATTTAAATCTGTTAAGACATAAATAAACTAATAATTGTTCTAGTTTTTCTTGGAAGATGACCAAACCATGGAAAGAGTTAAGCGTAAATATTTGAAAAGACACAATATGCTATTTCTTAAGTTAGTTTTCATAACAAATTTTATAAATAAATTGAAAAAAAAAAAAAGAAAGAGAAAGAAAAAAGGATAAAATAAGAAAAATAAATGAAATAAAAATATAGAGAATAAAGAAAAAAAAAAAAAAAAACTAAAAAAAAAAATTAAAAAACAAATCAAACAAATTAACAAAAGAAAGAAAAAACGAGAATAGACAAAGGAAAAACAAAAAACCAAAGTTAAAGGAAAAAAAAACATTTAAAAATGGGAAGGAATTAAAATAAAATATAAAAATTGCTCTATTTTTGAAAATAGAAAAAAGAATATTTTTTAAATATCATTTTTGAGTGACGATATGTATTTGCTTAATCTGATTTACTTTTTTATTTTATTATTGTTATTTATTATGAAAACTCTATACTTTTCGTGACTAAATGTTTGTATATACCTCAACCTTTTTGTTTTTTCTTATTCTGTATTATCATCTTTTTTTTAGCTGTTCTACTCATTTTTTATATGAATTTTGAAATAATCAGTTTTTTAACTAGATTTATACTATATTTTATACTTACATCAAAAATCTATGAAGTCATTATTCCCTCTTGTATCATATTTTATCTAAGTTTACCGTTTCAGCATTTATAACCATTTATTAACCGTAAATTCCATTTAGAAATATTTTCCTTCAAAAATTTTCTAAATGAAATTATTTGTGAACCAATCCGTGGCGAATTATACCAACTAATAGTATTGTCCAGAGGGAATTATATCAATCGCTAACAATGTTTATAGGGAATGATGCCAATCTTTAAAAATTTCCTATAAGAATTATTTATGTACCAATTATTACATCATATTAAAACATATTGAAATATAATATAGCGCTGTTTTTATGTAAATACACATGTGTACAAAACCATAAAACTCAGAATTTACATCTATTACTTCTAGTCATTAAAAAATTTAAAAAAAGATTTTGGTATTTATTTAGGACCTATAGAATGGGAATCAGTTGAGAGCACATTGAAATTTTAAAAAAAGTGTTTTTTTGGAACACCCTTATGGTTATTTTCCGAGGACAAACAATTGTACCATCTCCATGTGGAAAGCAAAGGAACAGTGGGATACTCTACAGGCCAAACAACCAGTAAAGAAATGATCCATCCCTCTGAAAGACAAAAACTTTCTAATGAGTCATCCAACTCATCATCTTACTATCCTGGTTTTAGTGATTCTGACTTTGAGGCTGGCGACAGCGAATATAAAAACAATAAAGAAGATGAGACAACTCCTACACCAAGCAGAAAACTTCATAAAAGCAATTGTAGTCAACTTAGTGACCTTCACAAGTGTATCAACAAACAAAGCTGCTAACATATACAAGCAATTGGCTCGTGAAGCCATTGACATCCCAACTCCATGTCAATCAGCTATTTACAAGTCAACAATCAAAGAGGCAATCACGCTGAAGGAAGATATGATTGAAAAGTTGCATATGGAAAGTTGATTCTTACACTTTGATGGCAAGCACATCAACAGAATGGATTATCAAGTGGTCATCCTTAAAAATGAAAGAATAAAAATGAAATTGGTAGATGGCAGAGCTTTAACAATTGCTCAAGGAATTTCTAAAGTCCTCGATGAATTTCACCTATGGAATTCAATACAGATGATTGTTGCAGATATCATAGCGTTAACTCTGGAAAAAAGAATGGTATTGTAATATTGCAACAAATGTTCACAGAGAAACGCATCAACAAACCTCAGTTTATCAGTTGTCAACACCATGTATTAGATAAAATCCTCTGTTTGATGATGGATGAAGAACTTGGAAGTAAAACACAATCGCCAAACATCCAATATCCATTTGTATCTTAACTGTTGAAGGAGTATGAACAACTGAAAACACAGTTTGATAATGGAACAGAAGTAATTCTCGAAACTTCAGGCTGGAGAGATCATATGAAATTTTTGTTTCATCTCACTCTAGTGTTCCAATTTTTTGAGGACATACATAGTAGTACTTATGTCAAAATCAATTTTTCAATGGGGGGGGGGTGAACTATTTTAAAAAGATATGCAAATAATAGTTCATTTCGTGCTTTTTAGGTAAAGTTCATCAAACTACAGTACAGAAGTATGGGTTGATAAAAAGTCATAACCCTAATGTTCATATCTATGACAAATGAGGAGGCTTTGCAAAAATCTCGATGATGGAGGCCTAGGAACAAAAATATCCTAAAATTTTGGCCTCCCTTACTTGCCAAATAGTGAGGGCAAATTTTTTGAGTCTCTTCCCCCCCCCCCATCCCCTAAAATGAGGGGGTTGCAAATTTTGCATAGCAATAACTTTTTTAATTTAAAATATTTTAAAATAAAATTTAAAACCTGTTGATGAATTTAAATTTAGTATAAAATAGTAAAGTTGAAAATTTAACTACATAACCTTTGGGCAAGGATGGCTAAAATTTATAGGTTTTTTTTTTCCCAGGCCTCCATCATTGTAATTTTTTGCAAAAACTCCTCATGAACATACTTAAGTTTGGAGTTAGCAAAATACATTAAAGTGTCATATCTGAAACATCCAAAAATCCTGTTGGGCGGCCCTGATCACCCTATGCTTTTAATGGGTAACTGTACCATACTTTTGATATGTAATTGCACATGATCACACTATGACCACCCTGATCACACTATGATCACCCTGATCCCACTATGCTTTTGATGGGTAACTGTACCATACTTTTAATACATAGTTGCAGTTTTTTTGGTAGTTATCATTCCACCAAAAAACTGTAGTTTTGGTGGTTAAACTACCAATAGTGTAATTATCCACTAAAAGTATGATTCAATTTTCCATTATAAGTATAGTGCAGTTATTTAAAAAAAGTAACAAATTCGTTTAAAAATGTTTTATTTTTTATTTTTATGTTTTTTTGATTCAATCTTTTTAACTTTTTTTTTTTTTTTTTTTTATACTTTTTTATCATAAGTTTTATTATTTGATAAATATAAATATATTATATGTTATATTTATTATTATTATTATTTATTTTATATTTATTTTATTTATATTAATTCTTTTTTTGGTTCAACAATTTTCCATAATACCAGTTTACAAAATTAGTAATTCATTTTTAATTGTATATTTAATAGTGTATTTCTCTGTTGGCTTTGATTGCTCATTCTTTAGTAAATGTATTTAGTAGCTGTATTTAGCATGAAATAAAAACCTTTTTGGTGTTAATGCTTGAAAAGGATTTCATTTTTAGAAGACCAATCAAAGCAAAAGTTTAAACCTTTGTGTTACAATAATAATAATAATAATTTGAACCAAGATCGAAATTATTTGAATGATCCTCAGTCTCCATCTTGTATCAGTCCAGGTTTTGTTCCAAGGCAAAAGTTTTTTATGGCGTACTTTGAAGAGAAAAAGGTAATTTATTTTGGAGATAGATGTTATATTTATTGTAAATATTTTTTAATTTAATAAACAAGTTTCAAAGGTTTTTTTTAACTTTTAATTTTATTACCTTACCTGCAGTTCTAAAATTTATGCTATCTAAATTTATCTTCCATTATTTAAACAAAATTTTCTAACGTGTTTATATTTTGACATACTTATAATGACTTATTTTTATTGTAAAAGAATTTTAAAAAAATTTTAATGATTCATCAAATAATCATGATGCAATTTTTGTGTAAAAACTGGTGCAGTTCAAAAAAACGCGTTGGAAATCTGTTGACACTTGCATTGTAATTTTTTTCATGATTTGTGATCTTTTGCTCGTATTTAAAAACAACAAAAACTGTTGCTTATTCTATTTAAATTGATCAGTATGGCTATTAATTGCTAGACAATTAGAAATAAACATTTCTTTGCTTTTAACAAAGGCTCAATCATTAAAAAATTTGAATTTCAACAATGACAAAGTTTAGATTAATCTTATGTTGAACCATACTAAAATAAAAAATTACGTTTTTTCAACAAACAAAAATCTGCAGTATAAAGTATAGACTATCCAGTTTTATTATTTAAATATTTGGTATTTGAATATATATACACACTTTTATTAAATTAAAAAGTTGCATGTAAAAGAAAAAATAGAGAAACTTTTGACATAAAATGTGTGTAAATTTTTTTTTTCTACTTTTTCAATTCTGTTGAATTTTTTATTGTTTATATTATAGTTGATTTGAATGACTTTATTTTTAAGCAACATTAATGATCTTTCTAAATAAAAAAAACTGGTATGAGAGAAAATATGAGGTAAAAAAGAAGTAACTGAAACAGTTAAATAACATTAAAAAAATTGTGTTAGTATTAAAAAAAGTGCGTTAAATAGTATTTAGTACAGGTGTGTTAAATAGTATTTAGTACAGTATTTAGGAGTCAAAAAAAAGTGCTTTAAAAAAAAGTGCGTTAGTAGTAAAAAAAAAAAAAATTAATTATATTATTAGCAATTAAAAAAAAAGTTTAAAAATTTTGTCTAATTAAATTAATTAATTTAAATGTATTATAATAATTATTTACTATTTAATTATTTAATAGTTATAATAATTATTAAATTATTATAATAGTTATTTACCATACTGTTGTATTCATTGATCAAATTGCTATTATCATTACTATAATTAATTAAATAGTTATGTTAAAGTCGTTACTGGCTACTATGGTTACTGGTTATGTATTTAATTGAATCGGTGAATGTTAAAAGTCCAACAATGTAAACTTTCAGAAATTAAAGAAAAACTCCATTTTCCCCCATAATAAATTTTTGTTAATAGTTTAATATTTTTTTTTTTTTTGAAGATGTTTTCACCTTTTAGTGTCCCAAAAGTTTACATTGTTGGACTTCAGCCCTTTTAACATTCACCAATTTAATTATAGATTGCTATAATTATTTATCATGCTTGTTGAGTCATCTCAACAAGTATGATAAATAAGTTCTTCATCCATCGCCAAACGGAGGATTCTATCTAATACATGGTGTTGATAACTGAATAACTGAGGTTTGTTGATGTGTTTCTCTGTGAACATTAGTTGCAATATTACAACACCATTCTTTTTTCCAGAGTTAACGCTATGATATCTGCAACAATCATCTGTATTGAATTCTATTGGTGAAATTCATCGAGGACTTTAGAAATGCAGTGTTCGTTTTTACTTTTTTTACTATTGATTTGTAATATTATCTCTTTAGATATCAGTATATACATACAACTTCTCCAATGAAGTCAATGTTGTTCTTGAAAAACAGTTGAAAAGATTATATGCTTGGAACAATGTTCGTTCTCATATTAACAATTGTTTGTTTATGCAGAAGCTTGGCTTGTTTCATCATAAACATTTTGTCAGGGATTGCCCTGGAAAATCAGACCCTGTGAGTATAAATTTGCATTAAATTTGTTGTTTTGCAACATTAAAATATATGGGAAAGGAAGTAGGGTTGTAATTAACTTATAACCTATTGATATTTTAGGATGTGCTTGCTTTCTCCAGATCTACTGATAAATCATGCATTATTCCATTAATGAGAGATGTAATACCACCAAAAGAGGTTATTTATTTAAAATTATTTATTATTATTTCTTAATTTACTTTTTTAATGATTTTTTTGTAAAAATTTATTGCAGATTGTTAAAATCAATGATCCTCCTGATCCAAAGCGTCTAGAGTTTGATAATGTGTTTCGTGATACTGCTCCTACACATTGTCTCCATCATTCAGACTATTATTTTAGGAAAGATTTAATTAAGAGACAAGCTTTTCAGTATTTGGTATTTTAATTTTTACCTTAAGGAATTTGATTAATTTTCTCATGTTTATTTTATTATACATTTATACATATATGCATACATACATACATACATACATACATACATACATACATACATACATACATACATACATACATACATACATACATACATACATACATACATACATACATACATACATACATACATACATACATGTAAACTTAGATTTTTTTTTTAATGTCATATATGACATTTTGTTTAGTACTAAATCAGGCCAGGTATATAATAAGGTTCAGACAAATAAGAATTTTTAAAAAAGCATTTTTACAGTCTTATTTATTGTATTTAAGTTATGTGAATCTATATTTAAAAATCTTATTTCCTTGGTTAATGTTTTCATCCTGCTCTGGCCAAAAACTCAAAAATGCTTTGGGGCAAGGGAGGTTTTTATCCGTTAAATTAGAAAAAATTTATGTTATTCTTTCAAAAATATTTATCTTTTTTTTTCCTACTTTAAATTAGACATATATATGTTATGAGTTAAGTTTTTGATATATATGAATAGTATAATATTTGCTTCATCATTATCACTCCAGCAAAGTTTTCTTAATTTTTTATACAGGATTTTGTTTTCAACCATTGATCACCAAGACTTCATCAATTTTGAAATATATTTTTAGTTAGGCTGCTAGTTTTGGCCAATAAATTGCAAAATACTTGATGTGTAATTCATATCAATGATGCCTACATGCCTATGAAATAAGTACTTTCATTAACCTCTTTTTATTTTTTAGGTACGTGTGCAAAAATTTTAAATTATTCAAATATTTATTATCATTGTAAAGAGCTTTAAATCAGTATTACAATTTCATAAAAAACGATTCTACTAAAAGTTATGCATTTAAGTGACAAAAATTCACTATAAGGATTGCTTAAGAAAACTGCAACCAACTTAAAAAATTAACGTTTGACTTATGGTAGTTTTATAATAGAATTGTTTAGTTTGTGCATTACTTTGCTTGAGTTATATTTTTATTCAGCTTAACAGAAAAAGTTTATATTATTTAATTAAAAAAATTATTTTTATTAACAAATTAAAAAAATTATAAATAGTAATAAGATAAATCAATTTATATATGATTAAATATTATATTTATAAATTTGTTTATTTTATTATATAATTTTTTTAATGATAATACTTATTATATTACATTTTACTTTACATATTTATATATTATATATTTATATACATATATAGGCTTATATTATATATTTATATATTAAAGCTCGTAGTCTATTTGTTGCATTACTGTATATGTACATAGTCTATATATGTGTAACAGTAATAGTTTTAGAGCCTGTTTTACCCACCGCACTATTGTTATTACTCAAGCCACATGATTTTTCAACTTAAGCCATGATTAATATTAAAAATGACTATAAAACAAATTAATTATTAATGGTAACATTTCATGTTTGTATTTAGAGAGATGTAGACATGTATTTAGAAAAAGCGCTTCAGAATATCCTATGTATATTGCCTCAATTTACACCAAATAATACGCCCAACCCAATATACAAAAGATTTATTTGTTTTAAAATATACTTCATAATATAAAATTTAAACTAAATCCATTGTTTTCCATATGCTTATTAATGTTTTTAACAGAATTGTAGCTGTGAAAATAGCCTAATTTTAAAGCAAATCTAGCATTGACATCCAGAGATACAAAAAGTCGATCCTTCGGCAATGATATCTAAAAAAAAATTGATTTTTGAATAAATATATAGATCACCATAGCACAACCATTTTTAGTAGAGAAGCCATATGTCCTGAAAAATAAATTAATATCTAACTGTTATTAATGCATAATTTAATCTATAACTATAAAGTAACCTCTTTCTTGTTAAAGTTCCATGGAAGCAATAGTCTATTTTTCAGTTTTCATGCTGTGAGTTAAAACCTAGCAATGATAGATAAAATACATTAGATATTTAAAATAATTACTAAAAAAAAAACATTAAAAATGAGGCGTAAAAGAGGTTTTTGTTTTAGATTTAAAATAGATGAAAATAACTTAACTTCTGATGCATAACACATTATGCCATTAAAACAGAAATATTAATGGAAGCAAATGAATTCTTTGATTTGTTAACTGAAAAAGAAAAGATGTGATTTATAAAGATAATAATCAAAAAAACTGGTTTCCATAGTGATTGATACTACTTAACACTAACATCTAGGTTTCCTTGGTGTCATTTTAGGAAAAAAGTTTATCTTTCTAAGTTGAAACAGCATATCAAAAGCCAGGTGATATAATAGTAAATGAGTTTTGGTTTCCCATAGCATGTTGCAACCAAGTCAACCCTGGTTGTTGGATGTCGGTAACTACCCGACTACCTAAAATAAGATCTGATACATAAAAATAATCAATGAAAAAATTATAAATCTTTTCAAAATTTTATCAACAACAAAAAAAAAATGGGCGAGGGGGCATGATATACACATTAGGCATTGCAAAAATATTACTAACCAAGACACTTACCTAATATCTGTAAATGAAAAATGTTAATGCAAGTATATAAACCATATTATGATTTACAATAACACATACCTTATTACAATCAATTTGCAGATCTTTTTTTTTATGATATTACCATATTACCACTAATGATGTCTGCAGACAGTTGCTATTTGCTCATTTCATACTCAACAGCATCATCATCCTCATTCTCATTTGGTTACCAATAAGAAACTATTTATATAGAATTGTTCTTCTTTTTAATGCTAAGAAGTCAATGAATGTACAAGAATGGAAACAGTTACATAATAGATTCACCTGTATAAGATGTAAAATTTTGTAACAAACTATATCTCAGACCTCCACATAACACAAAACTGAAAACAGAAATGTTTTCAATATTGCATAATGATGAATCAAAATACCACATATGTGAAAAAGAATGTGTAGTTTGTTCCCTCTGTAGCGTGATTGCAGTCCTCTGGGTAGCTTGTGTTAATCCATAAAGGCTACAAAACCCTTTGGGTCACCTTTAAATAACATAAAGTAAATTATTTTAAAGAGCATAAGGAGCATGTAAAATTAAAAATATTTATGGTAATAAAAAAAAAAAAAATTTTAGATTTATAGATCATAATTCACAAAATTACATTGTATTAAAGTAACAAAACTGGGATTAAGATTATACATGTGCGTACATCTTTCTCTTACATGTACCTTTTGCATCTTTGTAGCAAAGTTTGTTCAGCTGTATAACTATATTTGCTGCAATGCAGTCTCTTCCAAAAGGTTTCCTTTTAGAGGTCTCTTATGCTTTGAGTGAAGACTTGTAAGAACTGGTCATTGTGTCCAAGGGGTGAAGGTGACAGTTCAGTTCATTTAATGATTTCTGCCAAACAAGTTTTAAATTAGTAACTTTTGCATGGTTAGTAGCTACTCTGTCACTCATCAAATTAGTTATGTTTCCAATAACAGCGCTTTGCACAACAGTGAATTGTAACTGGTAGAAGTCACTATATAACTTGGCAAGATTATTAACAGATTTTATAATCTGAATTTTATACTCTGATTTTATACTCTGATAGTCGTAAGCTGTACCTCTGTAGCTGTACCTCTGTAGCTGTACCTCTGTAGCTGTACCTCTGTAGTTGTACCTCTAGGAAGTTGATCTGTAGCTACAACCATGCATACTGATTCTGTTGTTGAGTGCACAACATTTACATTAACATCCTCCTGTGTTGTTGCATCAAAACCAAGTGTCAGTTTTTTTGTTGAGAAATTTCAACAAAAAGTTTGACATTTACAGTAAAAAAAAACAGTTGACATTTACCATACTTAGTAAATGTCAACTGTTGTTTCAAAATAAAAATATGATTTTGAAGTTTCTTCAATTGTAAATTCAAACACATTTTTTTTTAATTTTTTTCGAAGATGAAGGATTGTCTTTTCTTTGCAAGCAATAACCTGATTTAGATATTTAAATTGGTATGGCCGGCCCTTTGCCTTTTTTCTTATCTTTTTTAGATTCTCTTTATGCTTTCGTTTCTTATTTGCCAATTCATTTGCTAAAACTCTTTTGCAAAACTTTTTTTCTAGGATTCAACTGATCAGCTCTTAACCTGGGAAGTGGTGGTTCATGAGAAGAGGTTATTAAAGTGAGACCAGATAAAGAAGAAGATAAGTGATTACTATTTGATACAGATAAAACACTGATGTGTGCAGAAGATAAAATAGAAGCACACAAAACAATGTTAAATGAGCTTGTGGTTGAATGCAATGGTTGTGGCATAGCAGATATTGTTTTTTGGTATGTAAAGAGCATGTTGCAGATATTAATATGTTGTTTAGAATCCCTTAAAAAATCATGTACATAGAATTTGGATCTATTTACTAGTTGCACAATCTGACTTTTACATATTTTGAAGTTAAAAAGTTTATTGACTAGTTCAACAGTTGTTTTAAATGATTCATTGTTGGATACGAATATATTTAATATATGTCTATTTCTATAGTCAACATTTGAATGAGTTGGCATTGTAAAGTTATATGCTAAATAATTTTTGGCTTTACCATAAAAAATAAACAATTCTTTTTAGGTCCCATAATGCTCTAAAAAAAAATTCAATAATCAAAATAATTATTTTATTGAATTAGCTTTACTTAATATTACACTTTTTAAGAAAAGTGCTATTTTACATGCAACAGAAGATAAAATCATGAATCTTTATAAATATATAGCATAGTTTTTTTGTGAGTAAATCATGCTTTGAATACTTTTAAAAAATCACCAATATTTTTAATAATAGTTCATTTTTCTAAAAAAATAACTTTTTCGTGAATAAAAAAATTCAAATATACAAAATGCTCATAATCATGACCTCCCACCCCCCAAACCTTCGCAACAGAAGAATATTTGCTACCTTTACTGCATGCAAAAATAGGGTATGAATGTGTCATTATTTTTTAATGAATTTTGGCAGGTTCATAGAAAATAGATATAGAAAATTAACTGAAAAGTTAGGAAAAAAACCATCATGCTTTCAATGTCAATTCACTTACAGAACAGAAACAAAGTTTTTAATATCAATGAAATCACTAAAAACGTTAGAAATAACTAAAAACATTAGAAATCACTAAGAACATTAGAAACTGCAAAAAAAAAAGAAAAAATAAACTTAAAACTACTTTAAAAATATTATCAATATAAAATTTTTAAAAAATATAACAAAAATCCATCCTTACAAAGCATTTCGAATGCGGTGAAAAAATATATTTAAAATTGGTGCAGTAAATCACAGATACGCAGGTACATAATTAATGTGCTCACACCATTCATCCAATTGGCATTAGTTGTCTTAAACAAATTAACTTTTTCTTTAATAACTAATCTCTTTTTTTTTTCATTAGTTCATTTTTTCATTAGTAGTTATTTTTCTTTTCAGAATTAGATTGACCTCTAAAATCTCTCTTAAAAGATCTTAGTCTATATATATATATATATATATATATATATATATATATATATATATATATATATATATATATATATATATATATATATATATATATATATATATATATATATATATATATATATATATATATATATATATATATATATATATATATATATGTATATATATATATATATATATATAGACTAAGTCTATATATATATATATATATATATATATATATATATATATATATATATATATATATATATATATATATATATAGTTATTAGTTATTATAAATCTTAGTCAGTTATTCTGACATCAATATCTTTAGTTGATATAATCAAGATTAAAAATTGCATTAAAAAAAGTAATTTTGCTTTGTATTAATTTAATAGAATCCTAATGTCTTCAATAATTATATTTAGTCTTCTCTTTCATTTTTAAATATTAAAATACTTCTTATTTTGACATGTACCTAAAATAAATTTTTTCAATAATTATGATATAATATTTAGTAATAGTTTATTGATACAAGTTTTTTATTATTTTAAATATTAGTTGTTATTAATGATAAGTAGTTTAATATTTAATGGTATAAGTTGAAAAAACAATAATATTAATGTTTTTAATATAACTAGATTTTGAAAAGGAGAATATACATATAAATATTTTGAAAATAAAAAATTACAAATTACAGATAGTTTTAAACTATAAGAATATTTTTTAAAGTTAAATATGTAGTAAAAGTTTCAATTATAAACAAAAGTGAAGGTACCCCTCAAATATATGAAAATGTCCTGGGGCAGGACATTTTCATATTTTTGTTTAAAAGAAGATGATGAAAACATCAAGCAAGTTTTATAACATATATTTGGAACCTATATACAAATAAAAAAAATACAATATTGTACTTTTTAAAATGTGTGGACGCTATTATATAATCACATTTTATTTACAACATAGAAGTAAAAATTTTTTGTGTTACAAGCCAAGCCTCAACAACCCAAGCACAAACTTGTCTAAGAAAATCATCTTATAAAAAGTTTAACAGTTAAATAAAAGTTATAAATAAAAAAAGTTATAGATATGATATTTTTTAGTAGGAAAATGATGATTATTGTTGAACTGTATAAAATGCTGTGTTTGTGCTGGTGTTACCATGTACTAGAGTATACTAATATAGTCAAGTATGTTGTGAATATATTTTTTATTTATTTTTGTTTTGTTTTATTAGGATGTCAAAAACAAAAAAGCAAATTGTAAGTTTTGAATGTTTTCTCTATATTGCCTTCAATTGTTTGTAATTCAATTGATTAAAGTTTTTGTCATTGAGTTTGATTATTATTGTTTGTAGTACAATTAACTCGCCAAGTTGTTAACAAAACTATTAAGTATTGCTTTAGTAAAATATTTAATTTAGTGGCTTATCAACAAACTGTTTTGAAGGAGATTTATAATTCTTGGAAACAAGAAGGAGCTCATGTTCCTATTGCAGTATGAAAAAAAAAATTTTTTTTTTGTTGATGGGTTTCTGTAATACTTTTTTATTTTGGCAATCAATTGAATATTAGTTAGGGTTTATTCAAATAAAGTTTTTTAGAAATTAATTTTTTGTCCAGGAAGAAAGACTGCAATCTCTTAAGAAACATTGTCGACTTTTACACTACTGTAATGCATCTCTTTTATTTGATATTGGTGAAAATAAAGAGTCTGAAGAAAAAACAGCAAAGGTAAACATTTTGTTTTAAAGTTTGATAAAAGAGGTTTGGGGGAGAGTTTGCAAATCATAGTTGCTACTTATATTTTTGTTTTTTTATCTTAAACAATAAGTGCCATTTTTTCCCAAGCTTCTAATTTTAAAATAAAAAATAACAATTCAATGAGAAAAATCTTTATTGAATCATAAACTTAGCTTTTGTCTGTTTACTTGATTACAATCATGGAACATGATGGTTTGAGGTAAAGTAGACTTGTTGGGTAGGCAAACTTGGCAGCTTTTTAGATTAAGTTGTATTTTTGGGATGTTGTAACAAACAATCTTTGTAATTGTGAGGTAGATTAAATATTATTGATTTTATTATTGTGTTCATAGAAATGTAAAAAATGAGATCAATATATATTGCAACATGTTCTGGTAAGTTTGTTTATTTAAGGGGAAAAATTGTGGAGTCTAAAAAAAAATGGAGAAGACTAAAAACTGTATAGTAGAATGAATGCAGGACTTGAAGACATTTTTAAAATATTTAAGATGAGTAATTATTTGTTATTAATATCAGTTAATAACAGTTATATTTGGTTGACATGTTGCAAATTATTTTTATCTTTCAAGCTCTTGTTTGCAAAATTCTTTATTACTCTACTCCAAAATGTTGTAGAGTTTAATTTAAATACTTCAAGGTTTTTTAGCCATCTAAAAACTAACATCCATGTTATAAAAAGTGTTTTCATAAACTTCTGGTTATGATCTAGTAAATTGATTAATAATGTTCAAATGTTCTTTTGATGTTCGAATTTATTTAATATTAACCTTTTAAAAACCTGAAAAGCTTAGAAATCAACAGCTTGAGTTCATAAAATTTAATAAGTTATTAAATAAATTGGGATTTGTTGTTTCATCAAATATCAAAAAAAAAAATTTGAATAAATACCTGTTTTAATAATTACCTGTTTTAATAATTACCTTTTGAATGATTGTCTGTTTGAATACGTACGCCTTTCACCTGTTTACTAGGAGGAAAGTTCAGAGTATGAGGAATCGACAAATAATCAAAAAGGTTGGTATGAAGAACTTAAATGGACTCTTGTGCAACAGTACATTCAATATTTACAAACACTTGGCCTTTGTTTGATACAAGTTTTGAATAAAAAGTAAGTATTGGTTAGTGTGATTGTGCATTTGTATATATATATATATATATATATATATATATATATATATATATATATATATATATATATATATGTATATATATATATATATATATATATATATATATATATATATATATATATATATATATATATATATATATATATATATATATATATATATATATGTATATGTATATATATATATATATATATATATATATATATATATATATATATATATATCTTTATATCATAGTCAAAAGAGTCTTTTATGGTTTAAAAAAAAAGTCTCTTGACTACAATTTTAATTACCTCGGCTCTTAAGCTGTATTTGATTGTCGTGGAAATGTCAAAGCAATTAAATTAATGCGAAAGTACATTAAATTTTATTGTTTTTAAAAAAAACTGCAATAATAATGACTAGAAAGTTTTTTTTAATTAATGATGTTTTTGTTGTTGTTTTATTAAAATATATTTTTGAAACATGCGCGGAGCAATGCTACATCTTATAGCCTGACTCGCAACGGAGTGCTGCTACATTGACTGATAAATAGCCTGACTCGCAAGGGAGTGCTGCTGCATTGACTAAGGGTTTGATTTGGCCAGGTAGTCTATCAATTGTTCTACCCATTATTTAACACACAACAGCGTGTTAAATAATGGGTAGAGCAAATAAGTTGAAATGAAATAACTATTAGGATCAGGCTTGTTCAGGAAACGTGAGCGATTGCTCTTGATTACTGACCATGGAAATAATATTTAGTTGCAAAAAATTGTTCAGATTTTTTAGCCGTTTTGAGAATATTTAAGTTTATGTATGTCCATAAAACAAAAATTTTTTTGTTATACAGACATACATGGAAACATATATAAACTTAAATGTTCTCAAAACATCTTGGTGCGGAAGATTAAAATGAATATTCGCAAATACTAAAAACCGGCCAAACCTACAAACAAACTAATTCTATTGGTTCAATAAAAGCGAAATAAAGTTCTAGAGTATTCTGTTGAAAATTCTATTTTTCGAGCTTTGTTAAGTGTTGAGATTTCTAACATAAATTGTTTTAGAAATATTTAACGAACTATTACTTTTATACTATGGCTCTACAAAATATCTTATTCTACAAAAATAAATGTTTTAAATATATATTTTTTAAATTATCAAAATTTTGAAAGTTTATTATGTATTTTAGATTTTATTAGTATATTCTTATTTTTTATTTAAAAAGTATGTATTTTTTATGTAAATGTAATTTTGTGTATCTATTTTTTATTCTAATGTAATCTTTTAAAGCAATTTTTACAATTTATTTTGTAAACAAAAAGATTTTCAACAATGATTGTGTTTTCAATAAAATTATTAATAATCATCAAAGTTAATAAAACTAATTGTAAAATAAACATATAAGAAGTTTCTGTAAAATAAACATATAAGAAGTTTCTGTAAAATAAACATATAAGAAGTTTCTGGTGTTACCATGAAAAACTTAACACAAACATGTTTAATTAGAATCTTGTTGGACTTTTTGGGGCCATAAAAATTATATTTCACTCTTTGATAAATAAAAGAACATTTGTTTCCTTTTTAAGCAATTGTATGATGTTACTTTATATAAAAAATGTCGCTTAATTTTATAAAACAGTTATAAAATAGCGATGTTTCAAAAATATTTGTTCTAAATGTAATTTATTTTGCTTTTAGTTTTTTTCGCATTAAAAGTTATTTTCTTTTCCTAGTTTATTCTTTCGTAATTGTCTATCATTGGTCCAATTTATCTTTTTTGCGCTTTTTTTTTTGCATTTTGAAATGTTCTCATAGCGATTAAAAAATCTGGACAGTTTTTTGCAACTAAATATTGTCTCAGTCTGTAATTGAGAGCAATCGCTCCCGCTTCCCGACCAAGCTTTTAGCTAGAAGTTTCATGCAATAGTGATTATCAGATGTAACACAACAAAAAAGTAACAAAAATTAAAAGTAACAAAAAATGCTATGGAATGTCCGCTTTGATGACATTAAAGTTTTTTATTAGAAGTTTATTTTCATGGCGGCACTTTGACGCAAGCTCGGTTCGTTTATTAAGCAAATTTAATGGTGGCATAATAATGGGATATTTATCTGTGAAGCAAAAGTTGCACAATTTACTACCAGGTTTAAAAGGCTCTGCTTGATTGAGAATATTCCATTTTAGTATAGGTTCGAAAGCTGAAGAGCCGAATTATGTAAATTAGTTGCCCTCTATATCTTACACACCATTACCAAAGAATATGGTTCTAATACTACCGGTCTATATTGAGGTGATGGTCTTTGCTACTTCTATAATATCAGTAGTCCTCAATCGGAAAAAATAAAAAAAAATCTAAGAAAAATATTTTAATGCAATTTTAATCTTAACATTACTATCAGACCAAACATAAAAACTGTAAATTTTCTTGATATCACATTTAATCTTTCTGAAAACTCTTTTAAACCTTATAGAATACTTTATATATTAACATCAATTCTAAACATCCACCAAGCATCATTAAATTTATACCAAAAATGATCTCTAATCACATCAGTAATGTAGCTTCAAGCAAAGAAGCTTTTGATAGAGCCGCACCATTTTATAATAACGTTCTCAATTCTTGTGGATTCAAAGTTAAGATTTATTTCAAATATCCAGAAACATAATACAAAATCTCGAATAAGAAACATTATCTGGTTTAACCCATCTTATTCACTCTAAGTTAGAACAAGCATAGCAAAAATATTTTTGAGTACAATTGATAAATATTTCCCTAAAGGCCACAAACTTCACAAACTTTTTAACAGGAACAACTTAAAGTTTACTTATAGCTGCCTTCCAAACGTCAAGAGTATTATTACTTCCCATAGTAAAAATATACTATTTAATTCTCATGAAAAAGCCAATCAATTAGGCAATTACCAACAAATCACCTTATGCCCACTCAATGAAAAATGCCTTACAAAAAACCTTATTTATATTTGCAACATAAAACTTACCAAGGAGAAGAAGGGTGTTATTACATTGGGCTTACTAAAAAAACTTTCGAAGACAGGTTATACAAACATAAAAACTCTTTTGTTTATGAAAGTAAGGCCAACTCCTCTAAACTTTTTTATATTATCATTTTTTGTATTAATTTTTGTCATTACTTTTTTGTTGTTGTTGCATCTGATGATTGCTATTGTGTGAAACTTCTACTTATGTAATTAAAATATATCTTAATAATTATTTAGTATTCACTATATATATATATATATATATATATATATATATATATATATATATATATATATATATATATATATATATATATATCTTATTAATTATTTAGTATTCACTGTGTGTGTGTGTGTATATATATATATATATATATATATATATATATATCTTATTAATTATTTAGTATTCACTGTGTGTGTATATATATATATATATATATATATATATATATATATATATATATATATATATATATATATATATATATATATATATATATATATATATATAAGCCTGGGTCTACTCAAAGTCGACAGCGATTATTTTTTACACCAAAATTCGACATAAAAAATTTTCTTCTTTAATTCATTTTTCACTAACAGATGTTGCGTAGATTAAGTGTATTATTTTAACTAAATAGTTTATCTATATTTTAAACAAAATTTATAATAAATATATCTTTATATTTCAAACAAAAAATGCAATCTCTTAACTATCGACCTATAGATTGTATATGTAACACGAGTAAATATACGCGCTTTTAAACAAAGTTATTGTTTATAGTTTTCCGCGTTTTTTTTGTTAACGATTTTCATAGAAATCTCTTGAGTATAATTTAGACATTACAATGGTATCTTTTTTTTTAATTTCCATTGAACTAATCATTACTAAAATTCATTCAAACGTAAAGTCAACAGGAAATCTGTCGACTTATGAAAAGTGTCGACTTGACAATGGTTATAGAGACATAGTTTGTCGACTTTGGGCTGACCTAGTCTTATATATATATATATATATATATATATATATATATATATATATATATATATATATATATATATATATATATATATATATATATATATATATATATATATATATATATATATATATATATATATATATATATATATATATATATATATATATATATATATATATATATATATATATATATATATATATATATATATATATATATATATATATTAGAATGAAGTTATATGTTTCAGTACATCAGTAGGAATATATTAGGGTGATAAAGTACATCATTAGTACATCAAC